TTTGACCCTGCTCCTCAGTCTGCCTAGCTTCACTTTCATCGAAATAGAACCCAATCCAATTACAAGTCAAACATACGCACACTGGGATGCACGCTGCTCGCCTCTTCTCACCTCCCTGGGGAACCACGTCTGACCTCAGCTGCAAAATTGCTCAAACTCTCCCATCAGCTAATGGGGCTACCTGTCTTCCACCGTGGCGGCCTTTCTCTTGACTTTAACGAGTTCCTGTTGTCTGCTTGTGATGTCAGCTGTCCACCATTAGATATATCTTTTGCTCAAACTACTCAGCTTTTTCATGTCCATCCATCTGGCTGGAGCAAGCTGACTGTGATTTCCAAATTGCTCTGTATTCATGAGCTGTTTTCAGTAAATTTATGGAATATTGCATCATAAAATATGAAGTGTGACTTTGCGTGACCATATTGTGGAGTCTGTCTGCCCTTGTGTTTGTTATTGTGGCTTGCCTCCAGGTACTTGAGTGAATGCATATTAATGCAATTTTGAAATTAGACATTGCTTGCTCTGCTATAAAGGTAATGTATAACAAATGTGGACGATTGAGCATTTAAATCTTAGTAACAGTTTTTGTCCAACGTCTAAATTACTGCATGGTTTACACCTGTCTTTGGCTTATGGCTCTAGTGGGGGTTTTGAGCCTCAGTTTTGACTCTTGTCTGGGTCTTGTGGGAGTTTGGAGCCTTGGTTTTGCAACTCCTCTGGGTCCCAGTAGGGCAATTCCTCCTCTGCATTTGACCCATCCTGAATCCGCTGGGGCATCTATCAGGAAAAGTGGTTGCCGTCGTCCAGCGCCCTGGGACCCATCTCCAGATGTTGATACTCAGCTTGGTCAGGAGTCAGGACTACTGGAGTAATTTTACCATATTACCGGTTACGGGACGACAGTAGCTCAGTTGGTAGAGCACTGGTCTCTGGACCCAATGGTCGTGGGTTAGAGCCCCCCCACACCCATGTCACCTGCTCCCACTTATGTCTGCTGTTGTTGTGTCCCTGGGCAAGACACTTAACCCCACATTGCCTGAAGCCCCCGCTGAAAGACCAAGGCCATTTAGTCGATGACAGAAAAGCCATCTTCTCTTGGACCCACCACCTGCAGGAGGATCAACGAGGCCTGGTGCAATGAGACTTGGGTGGCAGCTCTGATTGCCACCCTCCCGACCCAGAAATGGGTTAATAAAGGGATAGAAAATTACACAACATTACCCGTTACTCCAGATCATGAGGGGTGACCTAGTGTCTCTGATCTGAGTGCAGACGGCTCCTTGGATTGTGCTTCCTCAGCTTCATGTTTTAATGGTTTTATCTTTTTACTATTGTGTGTATGCATTACTGGAACTGTTGTCTGTACGTTGTTTGGGTGGACTTGTTGGATATGATTTGGACATAAAGTAACCCCTCACTCAGCTGTTTGGATTATCCGAGTTTGTCTAGTAATTATATATAGAAATTATCCATACCAAATCCTATAATTGATTGACAACAAAGGCCCTACCCTATAAACAAGCCAGGTTCACCTCTCACCCTAAGAAACCCAGAAGAACGACGTGCTAATTAATTCCAAATTTTTTTTACCACTTAGCCTGTATACTGATTAGCCTGAGAATGATTTTCCAGGAAGTCAACAGTAAACTTCTCTTTGTATTGATGTTGAAGTCCTTGATGCACGAGAGCAGAACGGTTTCCAGTTGAGTATATTTTCTTCACCAAATGCCCATTTCTATGATAAATGCAAGCGATTATCGAAAAGCTCAGAGTAGTTAGTCAAAGCAGCTGGGGCCAAGACCAAGACATCAGTAGGAGGTATAGATATGGTTTATGTACGAGTAAAGGAAATGATTTTGCTCTATTGATATTTTGGCCTGATCTTTAATAGCCATGCAGTATATTATGAGTAAAAGGAAAGCCATTATTTAGCTTAAAAACACATACACAACACACGTAATGGCTCTAGTGACCTGGTTTTAAAATGTGTAATGTTATTGCCTATGGTGTCTTTCATTGAAGACACTGTTGTTGTCATGGAAACCAAGACCTTGACAGTAACAATAGAGAATATGATTCCATTTATCTTGTAAATGTCATTTTTTATATAATATGTATGTTAGTTCTGCAAAAAAAAAATCCTGGAAAAAGTTTTAGGTGTAATTTTATTGTATTGTTATAATTATCTAGTATAACTCTTTTTTTATAATCAAAAAGACATAAGTCAAGGACATTTAAAAAAAACATTTATATAGTTTGCATTATTTTTTCTGACATAATCTGGAATATTTACAGTGTTTCTTGCGTTTGTTTAAACCTCAACTGATACTGACATGTTTTAGCACATAATAACTTTTGGATCGACATGTCATATTGTCTAAATATTGTAAAGGCAATAGGATAAATTATGTATGAAAACATTGCCTTGAATCCTGTTTAAATTTCACACAACAAAAGTTTGAATTGTGGAATTTAATTTTGCATTTGAAAAGTGCCAACGTTAAAACTTTGATATGATTTGATAATTCTTGGTTATGACAATTTAAATGATTATTCCTTCTCTTTTGTCTTCCTTTTCCTTATTGTCTGTCACTGTCAGCAAATTCTATGGCATGGATCATAAACAGAGTACCCCGCTGACATTTCTATTTGCCCAGTAACCCTTCACACACATATATATATGAAAGACACACGCGCCAAGTTCATTGTCGGGGATCAGGGATAGATCTGTGTGTCGTTTCCACAGCAACAGTACTGAAAGCAATAACGGAACACTTGACCCTGGTGCTCCTCCAGTGGCCTCTCTGCGCACTCGCACCTCAAATCTAATCTCGGCGAGGAGCCCGCCAAGTGATATCTACCCATTAGCCCCAGAGGATTCAGCAAAACAGAATAAAAAAGGCAAGCTAAGGGATGTCGGGAGCGGTGGAGTCGATAATTTCATCTGGCAGTGTCCTGGCAAGATTATTGGATCAGTTGTTTCTCTCAGCCACCGCTCCTGGGGAAAAAGTTTAAGGGTGTCTGTGTAAATTTTGAATAAAAAAATATAGTATTTTTTTTTTTTTTTGGAAAGTTTTGCTTCACTTTTCATGCTTATAGTGAAAGTATTTGCACCAGGATAGGTCAGTGGTGGTAGCACAGCCGTTAGTTCTCGCTCTTAGACTCCGAGGTAACACTGGGCCTTGATGCCATGTGCTCCGCTTTATCAAAAACATGCCCTATAGGCTGCTCGGCTGTGGGGCCAGGACTCCCCAGAAAAAGAGGCCGAAATCCAAGCGGGACTATTCAGGTATAATAAAGATATTTATTATATGTATACAGTATTTAACAATTAAATACTGCATATTTACAGTATTACAGTACTGCAGTTTGTGTAATACATTACACAAATTGTGTAATGTATTTTTTATTTGATTTGATTGAATCAAGGCAATTTTTTGTAAAACACAATTTGAGGTCACTCAAAGTGAGTCCCAAAACAGGAAATCAATTAAATTGTATTCTGTTGTCTGTAATTTATTGTTTGATTGGTTGGTTGATCAAGGCTTTACTGCTGTGGACTCACCACCTGCAGGAGGATCAGTGAGGGGCTGGGGCTCCAAGAAATGGACAAAGGGGGAGAGAATGGATGGATGTATTTTACTGCTCAAAGTAATTGCCCCTGATTTGATTGATAGGGTTGTCTGAACTGAACTCCACTGAGTGACTTCTCAGTATCAGCATGAAATGTGAGCCAACCCCAGCCCAGTTTAGAATCCGACGAGAAACACTTTCATTTATTTAATGCCTACTTTAAGCAATATTGATGGAAATGGGGATACAGACTTTTGCAGAGGGAAAAACTCTCATACACCTCTGTCTTCTGCACGTCATTCTTTCTCCTGAAGAAAATATGTTACCTTTCAGGTCATTCAGAAGCTGTCACACAAACCGAAGTAGATGGATGAAAATGTAAAAATGATGATGATTGTCTGACACAAGGGGAAGCCTGACTGAATACAAGTCCAAACAGAGATGAAGCGTCAGCGTGGCCCTGACAGACCAGACTCAGCGAAACCACTGTTATGTTTATTCCAGTCTCGATCCTCATTACTCCTCACACTGTGGAACTGGAGATTATACCCTTTTCTCTATTTAAGTGTTGTTTTTGCTTTGTGTGCCTTCCTGTGATATAGAAACCTAAGGTACATAATTACTTGAAGAGCAGCTGACAAATAAAATATGGTTTTACAGTACTGTATATATTTTTCCAAACTCTTCTTGTCTATAAGTCCATTTTGTTGTCCCAGTCTTTCACCTTAAGACAAATAGTTTGACCGATATAAACATTTGTTTGTTTTCTAGAAACACTGGCGCCTGATAAACTTAACAAAGATTAAAACTCCATAACAGATTACCACAACAGTTTTCTCTGAGGGCTCAGTCGATTCTTCTGTCGATGTAAAAGAATAAGCCTATAGCAATATGGGCCTTGTGATTAATACTTTATACACACACAACTGTACTTTGACTGTTCATTAAATGGTCAATAAAAAACCCACATCATTGTGAACATGTTGTGCATTCTCCAGGCCAGTGTCCTGAGTGTTTGGGCACAATAGGAGATGGCCCCCAGTGATTTGTGCCTCTCCGTAATCGGGTCAGGGTCGATGCGATTGCTCCTTCTGTCTGAGAGTACACTGTACTTAATGTACATGTACTTAATGTGAACATGGTGTGTTTGGTGTCAGTGCATCCTGCAGAGCTGCCTTCTGTAGTATAGCTAATTCATACTACAGCCAACAATGAAAGTATTTAACTTACCTGTTTCTATTGTGATGCTTCATTTCACAGCAGCACTACCTCTTATGTAATCTTGTACTTTAAAAATGAAACTGTAATCTCTATGGGATAGACTGTATTTGAATGAGTGAAAGTCATATTTAGTCTTTATAAACTAGGTTTCCGTGTGAATTTGCTGCTTACATCCCATTTCTTCCTGTGTTTGTTCTTCTCTGTAGTTCTCAAAGGAGAAGTACCTGCTGGAGTCACCGCCTGAGAAGCTCCGTAAAGAACTGGAGGAAGAACTGAAGCTCAGTCCTGCTGACATCCGGAGCCATGGCTGGTACCATGGCCACATACCCAGAGAGGTGGGTGTCACGCAGAGAACAGGGCTGCACTGGTTCTGCAGGGGGCGCCACTGGGATCATGTCGCTTACATCAAACACAATTGTTTCTACTGGCATTATTAAGCTTATGTACTATATAATAATCATTTTCCTTCAACGTCAAATTGAGTAATTGCCAACTGAACTAATACAGGTTCTAAAACACATTTTAATCCAAAATGTAAAAAAGAAAAAATGAGAAAACAAATGCGGTCGGAACAGAACCTTTCTGAGTGGAGTTTGCATGTTCTCCCCGTGTCTGCTCTGGTTTCCTCCAGGTGCTCCGGTTTCCCCTACCACTAAAAAGATGTACATTAGATGTGGCCTGCGCCTCCTGTACTGGCCCCGCTCTCACCTCTGTGTGGAGTGAGACACAAATGCCCACAATTGTAAACCGCTTTGTGACTCTGGTCTGTGAAAGGCGGGATTTAAATAAAGATTCGTTTATTAAAGATACATTTATTACGGCTCCTACACGTGTTGCCGTGTCATTACATACCATCACATACACACACACACACACACACTTTACTGTGTTGGAGTGACCACTGCTGTTTTATATGGACCCAAGATGACGTATATGAAGATTGAGATTGCTGCTTATGGTTACTGTAACTTGATGAAAAGAAACTACATCACTGAGCACCTTGTATAGTGGAGCAGTGAAGAGTGGACAATATACATTTAGATGTTTCTGTTGGGCATAGAAAGAAACACAAACATTTTTTGGGAGGTACCAGTTCTTGAACAAGGCCTAGTTTTAGATACTGATATCTTGTATGAGTTATAATATTATCTTCATATACACATTTGTGGAAAACACATGATTTATGTATGTTCACACTTCTCATTAACTTTCTACAGTGCTCATCTAGATCCTTCGCCTGAATCAACTCAGGGTCTGGTTAGCACTTGGATGGGAGACCCCATCCAAGTGCTAACCAGACCGTGACTTGTTTATGGCAATAGGTGCAACAGAAAATGAAACAAAAGCAAAAAACAGTTGATTTTTTTTTAATTTTCAACCAAAAGTTGAAACCAACAATCATCTTCTATCAAACTCTTTCAAAGGTTAATAATGATCCCATTTTCTGGCACAATCATAACTTGCTATAGCTGATCTAAATTGTAGACCAAAACACATGCATGTGAAAACGAGTTGATTTTATAATACATTGTTCCATTTTGGGTGTTGTTTCATTTCAAAATTCCTAAAATCTTAGAACTACGTTTTGATATGCCTTTCCATCTTAATTTCTGGTTGAGTGACTTTCGTCTGGGCAATGAGGCTCGTGCCAAGATGTGTGGATTCTGAAAGCAAAATGTAGATACTTTTCACACAGACTGACACTGATTAATGAATCCCATCATCTGTCACAGCTCAGTAGAAATTGCTTTAGCGTTGTGAAGTTGGGAGAGCGTGCCAAACAGACAGCTGCATGTGTTGCCCCCTGTGCACAATTGGATTTCACAGCTGGTGACTAAAACACACATACAGGGAGAGTGGGGGGACAAACCTGTACCCCTCCCTCCGCGGCGCACATGTGGAGGGCCCTTGTTCCCCCAAAACACTTCCAGCTCAGTAGACGATCGGGCTCTGATATCGCACTCACATGAACCATCTGGGAGGCTTTCCTCATTTAATTTACATAAAATATTCATGTATTCATGTGTTTGCTCCGGTGTAGACTTTGGGGGAACCCGCAGCCCCTCAGCTACCGTAACCGCTTATTAGCTCCATTGAAAATCCATTGAAAAGTATTTGCTTTTTCATCTGTTTTGTATAACATTTTATGCAAGTCCTTTATGCTTTACTTATTTATAAAAGCTTTGGTTCACTTGTCTTATTGTCTGGCAGTTAATCATCAAACAATGGCTTTATTCAAAGACTTAAAGCTGGGTTACATTGATTTTTTACTTTACATTTTACCTTTACAAGATGTAAGTCTTGTAAAGTAAGTGTACAAACCACACCACAACTTGTCTTCATCTTATTAGATAACATTTTATTTTTTGCTAACTGAGCCCAATGAGTCACTATTAAAGGTGAGAGCTGGTCTATCTGATTTAATGACAAACTTACTGGAGCAAACTGAATTATGTGTGCAACACTTTTACTTTGCACCCTCAGTTTTGAACCTGGAAGTACACTGTACCTCTGAAGGTACATTTTACACTTGCTTTCCATCAAATCTTCTTCTCTCAGCTGTTATTTTACTAATAACAATAATCATTTTCGCAATAATCTATAAATGCTATTTATTCATAAATTAATTCATCTGTAATGATCACACGTGTTCAGTTCACACTATTCAGACTGGGGAAATATTTACGTAATTTGAATTAAACATATGATAGTAATAAACACTGGTCTCTGTGAAATGGGGAAGTGCTGCCATCTACTGGTCAACAGCACAAGGCACATACAAGACACCAGGGACCTACATCCTGTGAGTGATGGGTTTTTCTATACATTTCTAATGTTTTTGTCTACTTCATTGTTTTGTTTTTTATTACATCATAATCTCGTGTGAACATTATTTGTTGCAATCAATATATTCGATCTCTTTGAATCCAGAAACCAGAGGCAGCGCAGTTGTGGTGATCATTACGATACACAGCCTCGGGCAGATTGTTTTCTGAATTGCTCATTTTGTCAAAAATATGAAATAACTTATATTATTTGTAGTCATACCATTGTGCCTGTGGTGCAGTAATTGCACCGGTTATTGTCCCCAAGGCTCACCACATAAACTCTAAATATTATAATAGTTTATGCATGTACTTTATTGCAGGTATCGGAGACTCTTGTTGTGAGGAATGGGGACTTTCTGGTGCGAGACTCTTTGACTAGTGTAGGAGACTATGTACTGACGTGTCGATGGGACAACGAGGTTCTTCACTTCAAAATCAGCAAAGTCCTTGTCAAATCCACTGAAACAAAGGTAAAAAAGAAAAAGGGGTAAACATTGCATACTGGTATCTATATGTATCAGCCTTTAGTTGAATTTTGTAATTTATTTGTATTTTTGTACAGATGAATTATTTGTTATGTTTCTGTGTTTATCTTTGTAATATCTATTTGTGCATTTGTTTAAATAAAACAATACAATTTGTTGAAAGCCCTTCGAGGCAGTAGTGATAAATAAATAAATCAATAATGCTGTATTTTAATGTCTGCTTTGTCTTTGTTGTGTCTCTTTTGTGTTTTGCTCTGTTTGCTTTGTGTTTCTGTATCTAATTATCTTGACCTTGTATTATGACTGTTTTTATCGTTTATCATGCTGACTGTGCAACGCTTTGTAAACATTGTTTTTAAAAGTGCTATACAAATAAAGATTATTATTAGTATTATAATAATGAGGGGAGAGTAACACATGCTTCCTCTCAGGTGCAGTTCGTGCTGGAGTCCGACACGTTTGACTCGGTGCAGGAGCTGGTCAGATACTACATTGGGCAGCGTAAAGTGGTGTCTCAGTCCAGTGGAGCCCACATCTATTGCCCCGTGAGCCGGACCCTGCCCCTGCGATACCTGGAGGCCACGTTTGCCCTGTCCCACAAACAAGGCTCCGTCTACTCCCCCTCCAGCCACAGAGGCTCCTACATCAAGAGGAGGAGTGTGACCATGACCGACGGTCTGACGGCGGAGAAAATGATACCTCACAGGTCAGAGAGGCACAATCTTTTTTGTGTGTAATTGGTACAACTTAACACTGACACTGAAACAAGAAGAATTTCTCCCTTAAAAATCTCATTGGATCTCAATCTTGGAAATCCTCTTTTCCCAGTCATGCTTTAAGTGAGGAAGATTATAACGTTTATGATTTGTTATATTCTTCCCATAGATAGTTTTTTGTTCTATTGTCAGTATTTATAATTACTTAACCGAGAAATCTTGACTACTATTTGTGGATCACTTTTTTCCTTTTTGTGCCATTATTTGCCATATCATCTGTACTTGTGTAGTTCAAGTCTAGGATATGACCTATCCAGGTCAGTAGCTTAGATAATTATTAATCTTGCAGCCCTAATACTGAGGTACCTAACTTTTTCCCAATAAATAAAACATGTTTTTACCAATGGATTCATGTAAAAGTAATATTTTCAGACCTGATGCATTTATATTATTAGAAAAAATATATATAATTTGCAGGCTTTTTTTGTGGCTTGAAAGTGAAGCTTTTTGTCATTTATATCAACTTTTTTTGTTTATAATTTTGTCAACTTTATCTTATTTCTTGTTTCCTATAACATTATCAGTGACAGCTCCACTACCCCCAGCCCAGTGGAGATTCCAGTGGCCTTTCCAATGGCCCCTGCGGCAGACCCAGAGCCTGAGCCTGTGCCCAGCTGCAGGTGTTGTGTTGTTGTTTCGGCTCAGACAAAGTGCACTGCCCTCACTGCTCAGCCCCATCAGCACTTCCTCCAGTGCAGTGAACATCAATCCCCTCACTCTGTCCCGTTGCACTGACTTTCCCACTTGTGCACTTAATCCATCATTGTGTTAGAAGGAAGCATGCAGACAAGAGGAGCAGACAAAGTATATATCCTAACAAACTCATCGATAGACAATGTGAGAGTAACTTTACATTTAAAAGGGGTAGCGCTTTTTTGGAATGAATACGTTTTCATTTATCTCGTCTGTAGTCAATATCCCGTCTCTAGGGTTGGAAAGGGTCCAGTAAAAAGGCATACCGGTAGTACGTTTTTCACAACACCCAAAATATGCTTCACATGGCATGACTTATGGGGGTAAACTGCTGTAGCCATAGCAGCCCTGTGGCAGACTGACTGAAGCGGGGCAACTAATTACCGATCAATAATGCACACACCCGACTCATAGAAGGCAATGTGGGTGAAGTGCCTTGCCGTAGGACACACCAACAAGCCTGCTCTAAGTGGTGGTGTTGAAACGATGTAAAACACAATGACTCGATGTTTAATATTCAAAGATAGTGAAACTTTTCTCCAACCTTTTTCCCGCTGAGAGCTTTTCAGGACAAAAAAAGCATAGAGCTCCTCCTTAAACTGTAAACAGTAAACAATCTTTTATTTTATGCTTTTCTTGTTTTGTTCAGCACCTTCTGTATGAACTGTGCTTCACAAATACATGTGTATTGCCTTGTCTTTCCAACATTTATACATCTTTAAAAAAAATTAAAGCTGTATGACAGGTGTAGGGATAGAAAAGCTAAAATGTGATATCTTCACAGATTATTGGAACTGTCTAAATCCTTTGGCGAGCTTCTTGGCGCCACAGGTTGGAGACCACTGTTTTACACAATGCTGAATCTAATATGATTTGATTAGACTTTGTCTAAAACAAACTAGCGACCCTTTGGAGGGTTATCTTCAACTTTGTTCTGCTCCTGTTTCACTAGCTTGGTAATTCAATTCATAAATAACAATATTTTTGTATTACTCGTTATATAAACTCCCCAAACATTTATGAAAAAGGTATCTGACCTTATAGCAATGACCTTAACCTCCCGTTCCTCCTGTTGCGTGGCACCCTGTGAGCTCTGTGCAGAGCTGCACACTGTACTGACAGCTTTGTGTAGTTACTCTTAACATTCTTTCTATGTGTTTGCAGCCCGTCCACCATCCACCACCATAAAGACGCAATGCGCAACTGTGCCATGAGCATGGACCAGATCCAGGAGTACCGCTGTCCGCTGTCCCCAGTGGGAGAAGGACCCATGTCCCCTGCCTACACAGCCAGTACGCTCACACCGGGTTTATTGTATTCTGTGATTTAGATTCCGTTTGTCACAGTTTTTCTTTGTGACAATGTCATAAGACTAAAAGTTTTGCTCAGGGTGCGTTCACATTTAGTCCAACTGAAGTGAACTGAACTTAGTTTCACTTTGGGCAAAGTAATCATAATCAGAATCCTTTTATTGCCAAGTGAGTAACAGGCAGTCACAAACTAGGAAATTGCTTTGGTTTTCGGTGCAAACAAGTTAAAGCAGAAGAAAAACAAGAAAGCATGCATAAATAAAAATAATAGATAAAATTCTACTCACATTTCTTCAGTTTACAATATACAAGTGCACTAGGTGCACACAATAGACCGTTAAGAGTGTGGTAGAGTGCAGTAAAGTGACGTCATAAGGGCAGAGGTCAGTGAAGGTTTATGAAGTGTTCAAGAGTCCAACAGCAGAGGGGAAGAATCTGTTCTTGTGGTGGGAGGTTCTAGTCCTGATGGACCGCAGCCTCCTGCCTGAGGGGAGTGGTTGGAATAGTCCATGTGCAGGTGAGAGGGGAGTGGTTGGAATAGTCCATGTGCAGGGTGAGAGGGGAGTGGTTGGAATAGTCCATGTGCAGGTGAGAGGGGAGTGGTTGGAATAGTCCATGTGCAGGTGAGAGGGGTCGGCTGTGATACGACCAGCCCGGCCTTGAGCTCGGGCGACGTACAGGTCCTGCAGCGATGGAAGGCTGCGGCCGATCACTTCCTCTGCAGAGCGCACAATGCACTGTAGTCTCTGTTTGTCCCTGACTGTGGCTCCAGCGAACCACACGGTGATGGAGGAGGTGATGGAGGAGGTGATGGAGGAGGTGCTGGAGGAGGTGCTGGAGGAGGTGATGGAGGAGGTGATGGAGGAGGTGATGGAGGAGGTGATGGAGGAGGTGATGGAGGAGGTGAAGGAGGAGGTGAATGAGGAGGTGATGGAGGAGGTGATGGAGGAGGTGATGGAGGAGGTGATGGAGGAGGTGATGAGGAGGTGATGAGGAGGTGATGGAGGAGGTGATGGAGGAGGTGATGGAGGAGGTGATGGAGGAGGTGACAGAGGAGGTGACAGAGGAGGTGAGGATGGACTCGATGATGGCCGTGTAGAACTGCAGCTTGGCTTTCCTGAGCTGCCGCAGGAAGTACATCCTCTGCTGGGCCTTCTTGATGAGGGAGCTGATGGTCGGCTCCCACTTGAGGTCCTGGGTGGTGCCCAGGAAACGGAAGGACTCCACAGAGTGTAATGTGGGAGTCCATCACGGAGGGTGGGGGCGGGGGGACAGTGCTCTTCCTGAAGTCCACAATCATCTCCACTGTCTTCTGGGCGTTCAGCTCCAGGTTGTTACCACTGCACCAGGACACCAGCCGGTCCACCTCCCTCCTGTAGGAGACACCAGGACACCAGCCGGTCCACCTCCCTCCTGTAGGAGACACCAGGACACCAGCCGGTCCACCTCCCTCCTGTAGGAGACACCAGGACACCAGCCGGTCCACCTCCCTCCTGTAGGAGACACCAGGACACACCAGCCGGTCCACCTCCCTCCTGTAGGAGACACCAGGACACCAGCCGGTCCACCTCCCTCCTGTAGGAGACACCAGGACACCAGCCGGTCCACCTCCCTCCTGTAGGAGACACCAGGACACCAGCCGGTCCACCTCCCTCCTGTAGGAGACACCAGGACACCAGCCGGTCCACCTCCCTCCTGTAGGAGACACCAGGACACCAGCCGGTCCACCTCCCTCCTGTAGGAGACACCAGGACACCAGCCGGTCCACCTCCCTCCTGTAGGAGACACCAGGACACCAGCCGGTCCACCTCCCTCCTGTAGGAGACACCAGGACACCAGCCGGTCCACCTCCCTCCTGTAGGCGGACTCATCGTTGTTGGAGATGAGTCCAATGAGGGTGGTGTCGTTTGCGAACTTGATCAGCTTCACGGAGTCGTGGCTGGAGGTGCAGTGGTTGGTGTACAGCAGTGTCTCCCAAAGTGGGGTCCGCGGCCCCCTGGTGGGCCGCGAGGGTACTGCAGGGGGGCCGCGGGAGGTCATAAAAAAAAAATAATATATATATATAATTATTTAATGTTAAATTTATAATGTTTTGTTTGTAATATTAAAATATTTGTGTTCATTATTTGACTTGAATAATCCACTGTAATCATTTTTGTATTACAATGTTTGTAGCAGAGGCTATTTCCCCAAAATAAAATAACCAGAAGAGCCTATTCTTAATGTTGTCTTCTTAGTTATTATTTTGGGGGGCCACTCAGACCCGTCAGATTTTTAAGGGGGCCTCGGTGTTACTGAGTTTGGGAATGGCTGGTGTACAGGGAGAAGAGCAGGGGAGAAAGAACACAGCCCTGTGGGGCTCCTGTATTTATAATCCGAGAGTCCGAGACATTCTTCCCCAGACGCACTCGCTGCTTCCTGTCCGTCAGGAAGTCAGTGATCCACCTGCAGGTGGAATCGGGCACGTTGAGCTGGGAGAGCTTGTCCTGGAGCAGGGATGGCAGGATTGTGTTGAAGGCAGAGCTGAAGTCCACGAACAGGACCCTGGCGTAGGTCCCCGGGGAGTCCAGGTGCTGTAGGATGTGGTGGAGGGCCAGGTTAATGGTATCATACACAGATCTGTTGGCTCTGTAAGCAAAGTGTAGGGGGTCCAGGTGGGCGGAGGTGGAGGACTTGAGATGAGAGAGAACCAGGCGTTCAAATGACTTAATGACTACAGACCTGTGGCACTGACATCTGTAGTCATGAAGTCCAGCGATCCTGGGCTTCTTCGGGACAGGGACAATGATGAAGGATTTGAAGCAGGCCGGGACATGGCAGGACTCCAGAGAGGTGTAGAAAATGTCAGTGAAGACAGGAGTTAGCTCACTGGCGCAGTGTCTCAGAGTGGCAGGTGAGACAAGGTCTGGTCTATGGAGCTATTATTGTTTGTAAGTGTAATGTGGTTGTTCTAGCAGTACACCAGCAGATGGTGCTGTTGTAGCTGGTTATTACCTACACGCAAGCAAACCAACACCTACTGCCTTGACAAGACACACTACCGCAGCTGTTTATATTTTTTTCCTATTTTCAAAATCCTGTCATTCACACCACTGTATGATACATGGATCTATTATAATAACTGGATAGGTGTTACTAGCTTGGAGCTGAAGGATTCTCGTACTGCAGACTAAATTCACGTTGGCTACACAGAAATTTTCCCCATAGAACTCAAAGTAAACTAAAACAGCTGACAGATAACCTACAGCTTTCATAAAGGTCGGATTTTGTGGGAATTTTAGTGTTCCTTGTCATCCTGAACTTTTCTTCTTCTTAAATCCTTCGGTTTTCTCTATCTACACTTGTTGGTTTGCTTGCGTGTAGGTAATAACCAGCTACAACAGCACCATCTGCTGGTGTACTGCTAGAACAACCACATTACACTTACAAATCTTTTTGACACACGCTTGGCGGCAGAGGTGTGTCAAAAAGAGATTCGTGTGTAAAACAGAGCCTGTGCGTAGCACTTAGGCTTTTTTCGTTCTTCTCTTTGTACAACGCGGTTATTTACACACAGATTGTTCTGCTACAGATACAAATGTCAAATTACACACACACAAATCTGTTTACGCACGCACACAGTCCAAGTTACACTTGCGAATCTGCGAAGGCAGGACTGCGTCAAAAGATTCGTGTGTAAAAAAAAAACTTGTGTGTAAAACGTACTTTTTTTTTTCTTTACACACACACAAATCTTTTTACGCACACACAAATCTTTTTACGCACACACAAATTTTGATACGTACATACAAATCTATTTACACACGCACAAATATTTCTTTTACACACACACAAATCTGGTTACGCATGCACAAATCTGGTTACGCACACACAAATCTGGGTACGCACACACAAATCTGGTTACGCACGCACAAATCTTTTTACGCACACACAAATAATATTGAAACAATAATAGCTCCATACTGGTCCGGGGTCTTTACGGGGGTGCAGCCTCGAGAAGAGTCGTTTGATATCTTTTGAAGGTATTGCCAGGGGGGGGGGGGGGGGGGGGGAGCTGATGGGTGGGTCGTTAGAGCAGTGGGGGGTGGGGGAGGTGTCCTGGGTGGTGTCAAAGCGGCTGAAAAACAGGTTCTGTTCATCAGACAGCTTGTGATCGTCAGCACAGGGGAGGGCTTTGGGCTTCTAATTTGTAATCTCCCGAAGGGCCTCCAGACAGAAGCAGGGTCGCTGTTTGCAAACTGCTTCTGTAGTCGTTCTCTGTGCCGTGACTTGGCTATGATATTAGCCGCTTTGTAGCCGCTGCAGTCCCCCTCTCTGAAAGCGGACTCCTTTGCTTGTCTGAGTTTAGCAGTGAACCTTAAGTAAGCTTAATTTGTGGAGATGTGAGATCACCAAAGCTGTGTAGCCTAAAAGTCAGTTCAGTTTTGAAACGCACGTGACGTCATGAGAACCATTTACCAATAAGTGAACGCTCTCTAATACGATATATGTATCCTGATCATTCTATCTTTAATGCAATGTAAACTTAATATCAACTTAGATGTTTTTCATATCTCATGAATAAGTCTTCATTGTTGATAAAAGTATAAATTCAAGTTTAAAACTAATGCAAATATGTTTAAAAGTGTGAATGTGTATTTTGAAGAGGTCAATTGCAATACATGCTTTATGTACTGCCCTAGCTACTGATGTGTTCTGATGTAGTTTTGGTGGTACCTTGGTGGTAAAACTTGATCTGGGTTCTGAAAGAACAAAATGTCTTTAAACTCAACATGGCTTATTAGCTACAGACTCTTTTACATGTATACAATCATGATCATTAAAACTAAGTTGATCTAATTGGATCCTCCCTACCATGAATGTCTCTGATGTATTTCTGTATTCTTTCTCTCAGTTACTAGACAAAGATGTCACTCAGGGGGCCGCGCTTTGGCAGTAGTCCCTCCCTCCCCTGTCCTGCGGCGATCCAGTGACCCCCAGCTCAGTCCTACAGCCAACAGCCCTCCAGAACAACCCACCATCACTTCCCACTCCGCACACTCCTCGCCAGCGCACCACGCCTCCTATCAGCCACACTCCTGCGAGACGGTGGGGAGCTACTGCGACCTGAGACCCTGCGCTCCCCCTAAGCCCCCAACCAAAAGCTATGTGGAGAGGCTCCGCGTGGAAGAGGGGAGGGAGGAGGGGGTGAGGGTGGACGGGGATGGGCTGTTCAGTATGCCGCAAGTGGAGAGCGCCTCTTCCTTCAGGCCGTCCAGGTGAGATCAAACAGCACACACACACTCACACACACTCAAGCACAATGTAGATGATCATCTAAAGGTTGCAGTTCAGCATCTATCCATTTTCTTCCGCTTTATCCGACACCCAGTCTTCTCTGTCCACACACACTTCCTCCAGACCATCCAAGGGAATCCCAAGGTGTTCCCAGGCCAGCTGAGAGCACATGACTGAGCTCCTCACCCTATCTCTAAGGGAGCGCTCAGCCACTCTGCGGAAGAAGCTCATTTCGGCCGCTTGTATCCGCGATCTCAACCTTTCGGTCATTACCAAAAGCCGACACAGTGTCCGAATCACTACACACAATGCACATTGATAGGGTTGCATTCATGTTCTATAATTGTATTTCAATTGGAGGCTAAGTGGCATTACAATGAGAAGGAAGCAAATGTTATCTTTTGAAGAAAAAAGGAAGTCATTTTCTTTTTCTGTTAATTCATGTATTCAGCCAAAGCCAGTTATGAATGCTATTGTTATACAATTGGAACAAGTTTTTGCCTTCAAATTTGTTTTATTTGTTCCAGTGAGTCTTGATCCAGTTACATAAACTAAATCTTTTTTTTATGGCTAACAATTTCCACACAAACACATTTAACTGTACTAACATATCCATCTGACTAGTCTCTCACTCTCAAAATAGTTTGGTTTGATAACTGGTTTTAACATACATGTATTTTTAGCCTTCGTCACATCTTTAGATCAGCTTTAAAAAAGTAAACAGGAGAAGGCCGCCGTCTCAGTATGGAAAATACAAAACAAGTTCTGATAAGTTAAAGAAAGCATGTTGTTGACTGACTTGTTCACAAAATTTTTACAAGACTCTTTTTGTTGGGACAAAGTAAATGTATAACTTATAAATCAGGAAGTTAAAAGTACATCTGGTAAAACTGTGCTTGTTCCTAGGTTTGAATCCTGCCTTTTACCGGTGGAGAACAAACCGCTGGAGATGATAGTTCTGAAGAAAGTCAAAGAGCTTCTGGCTGAAGTGGACGCACGGACAACAGCCAAACACATCACAATCGTTGACTGCAAGGTGCTTCACTAAAATCTTCAACAAATCAAAGGTTGTGTTGTCTATTGTCAGAAAATAAGATTATTTAGAAGTTTTTAAAAGCAACGTTCCTCACAAATTAGATCTCACAATGATTCTGCGACTTTGGCGCCTACAGCTATCAGATTATCCATTTTTTTAATTAAGCCCAAAGTAAACTCAGCAAGGATTTTACAAACAAATATATTGTATCTACAGATTTGGTCCCATCCTGATAACTTGATTAAAACAACAGACTAATCACTTGTTTTTTGTTGAAGGTTGCTAGAATATTAGGAGTCAGCGTAGAGCAGCAAAGGATGATGGGAGTGTCGTCGGGGCTAGAGTTACTGACGTTGCCCCACGGACAACAGCTCAGACTGGATCTGCTGGAGAGGTACTGTTCCATGTAATATACATATCCTTCTAATATACTGCATCTTTGGCATGTAACAATTAAAGACATAAGTACTGTCCAGTATTGTCAAGTATGTATATATGTGTATATATTTATATATATCGATATATGGGCTGTCAAATATATTATTATCTCACAATGTAAAAATTCAGTCAATTAACGCACGTTAATAAAAAAATGAATTAATCGTCCATCCATCCATTTTCTACCCTTTAATCCATTTCTGGGTCAGGGGGGTGGCAGTCAGAGATGCCACCCAAGTCTCATAGCACCAGCCCCTCACTGACCCTCTGCAGGTGGTGAGTCCACAGGAGGACGGCTGCTCTCTGAGTGTGAGCATAGCCTTGATCTTTCAGTGGGGGCTTTGGGCAAAGTGGGGTTAAGTGTCTTGCCCAAGGACACAACGACAGCAGTCATCAGTGGGAGTCGATGGAGAAGGTGCAGAGGTGGGAATTGAACCCACGACCTTCTGGCCTTAAGGCCAATGCTCTACCAACTGAGCTTAACTGAATTAATCGCATTAATAAAATTAACGCATTGACGCATGTACAGAATGACCCGCCCATGCATCCCATAATAACACTCAGAATGCCGTGGGCACGTGCAAGTGAGATGGCATCAGAGCAGGTGGACTCTGGGGATTCAAGTTCAAAAAGAATACGAGCATAGCCGTAAAATGTTAAACAGATTTAATGACATTCTGCATTTCAGATTAAATGTCCTCATCTGTAACAAACAATAGTTTTGGTCTGAGTCTAAACAGAAAGACAGAATGTTAATAATTTTAATGCCATTTTATGTGGATTTATTGTCATTATAATAAACAAATACAAATGTACACTGTAATTTATCTTTCCATTCAAACAACCTTTTACAGAAAAATATGGCAGAATTTTGCCAATAGTTAGAAATGCGATTAATTACAATTAATTAATTTTTAAGCTGTAATTAACTCAATTAAAAAAAGGAAATCGTTTGACAGCCCTAATATTTATTTATTAGGGCTGTCAAACGATTAATTAATTAATTAATCGTAATTAATCGCATTTCTAACTATTGGCAAAATTCTGCCATATTTTTCTGTAAAAGGTTGTTTGAATGAAAAGATAAATGACAGCTTAGTGAACATATGAACTGTATTTGTTTGTTATAACAATAAATCCATATAAAATGGAATCAACATTATTAACATTCTGTCTTTCTGTTTAGACTCAGACAAAACCATTGTTTGTTACAGATGAGGGACATTTCAAAACAGTCTGAAGCAGAATGTTATTAAATCTGTTTGATCTGCTCACAACATTACTTTTTTTGGCACAACCAACATGAACTGATGGTCGAAAGGAAAATTAGGTACCTCAGCTTTAATTTAGCGAGTGTGCTTCGGGAGAAGACACGGAGGAGACTGAGGCTCCTCCAGCTTCAGCGCTGCACATGTGTGCATCGGTTACACAAAGACACGTACGCACACTAGAGAATAGTTCTGTAATAGTTCTGTGCGTGGTCTTGGATGTGATCCCGTTACGCAGCGCCGTTCGCCGTCATCACAGCCGCTGGAAGTGGGAACGGTCCAGAGCGCTGTGGCGCCCGCAGCTCATCATGCAGAGTTCATACAGGAAACAACAAGTGCCCCGCGGTCACATGCGTGTGTTCTTTCAAAACTTGAATTCCCAGAGACCTGGTCTGTCCCCATCTTACACACACATGTGTCCGCGGCATTCTGAGTGTTATTATGGGATGCATGGGAATGCGTCAAATGCGTTAATTTTTTTAACGCGATTAATGAAAAAAATTAATTAACGTGCGTTAACGCGATAATTTTGACAGCCCTAATATATATATATATATAAACTTGATGCGTTGTGCCTCTTCTTAAATTAGTGAGAGTTTTGATTACAGTAGTTTTCACTGTGAGCAAGACGACAGCGACCTTACTTTGTTGTGATCCAAAATAAATGATCTTCTTTCTCTCTTTATAATACGAGAGATAAATCTTTATCTCTCGTATTTGGTCGTAAACATTATACATTGTGCAAAAAGGGTATAGTACTTTTGCAAGCCATTATAAAATCATGTGCATGTTTGTATCTGTACTGCATGTGCATTCACAGGTCACACAAGTCACTTCAAACACATGCAAACCCTCAGTAAAGCATATTGGGTTCAAAAGCTCCAATATTTAGTTTTGTTTCCTCAAATTATTGCAAAAAAAGATTAAGTAGACCAAAATATTTTCTCCTGCTGCTCCTGCCCCTGATTGCATTGGAGGGAAGGGTCAAAGGCGGAGACAATAGATTATAACTTAACTTAATGTTTTTTATACATAAATAACCTCACACAAAACATCTCTAGGTGGAATTAATTAAGTATAAATAATCTTAAAGTTTTAAATAAATAAATATTAGTGCTTTCAGACATGTGAATAACGGCATTAAAGACCTTATGACGGGTTTGATTTATTTATAAATACAGTTTTAATACCATTTTATATTAGAAGAAAAATACTAAAGGTTTCAAAATCAGTTGTTGTTTTTTTTGTCTGATCCCCCCAAATCGAAATAACCCCATAGCAACGCCCTTAGAGACGAAAAAACTTCACAGCCCTTGGTGACCTCAGAGCGGGTACGTTTCAACGCTGTAAGTTGTTTACAATTTGGTATTCGTTCTTTTTTCGCGGATATTCAAGATGTCAAGGCCGTGTACAGCGAGTCTGACATAAGTACTAGAATGTCACATTACTAGAATGTCACATTTCCTTGTCACTGAGATAGTCCAGTGGTTGTGTCGATGGACTGCCAATCCAGATACTTGGGTTCAAATCCCACCTCAGACACTTTTTCACTCTCAAAACAGCAATTTATGTGTAGTGAGCAATTGTCACCTGTAGAGGGCAGTATTGTGTTGGGCATCAGTGGAGAGAAGAGAGAAAAGGCAGTCCTGTGGCATAGATCCATGGTTTTCAATGCATGGGCGTAACCCGCTGTGACGTCACACACAGGTTAGAGCATAGACAGCTTCAATTCATGAAAAACACGTTCTTTTTATAAAATATAGGATTTTTTTTGCCGGAATCTCTTTCAAATTGACATTGTCATGCAATTTTGATATCCACTATTTTTTTTTTAAAACCCGTCATAAGGTCTTTAACGCAAAGCCATTTTTACAGTGTCATGTTTGTTTATCATGCGATTAAGTATGTATTATGAAAGCCTCATCACTGCACGGCAAAATACACATGGGTCTTATTCTGGCCACATGGGTGTGCGTGCTCCAGGCTTCTACCACAGGCACGTATCTGAAATCATCCTGTGCACGCCGCTGCAGAAAGCTGAAGGCGTACCTCACGTCTACTGTGTAGGACATGTGTAAACAAAAGTACTGTAGTTGCACTTGCTGCTGATTTCTTATTTACTGATTAGATTCATCAGTAATCACAACTATCTCCAACCCAAACATTGAAGTTATAGTTATTTCCACTGTTTCTCCCACTCCAATAGTACAGTAAGTAATTTAGCACTTTCCATTCTCGTAACAGATTCTACACCATGTCCATAATGACGGCGGTGGATTTGCTGGGCTGCACGGGAAGCACAGAGGAACGTGCTGCACTGCTCCATAAAACCATCCAGTTAGCAGCCGAGCTCAAGAGCAGCATGGGTAACATGTTTGGTTTCGCAGCTGTAATGAGGGCCCTGGAGCTTCCACAGGTAAATCTATCATCATGTTGCACCCACAGGTTCAGACACATCATTCTATTTTGTCTCAATTCAGATTTCCCGCCTCGAGCAAACATGGACCACGCTACGGCAAAGACACACAGAGGGCGCCATTTTGTACGAGAAGAAACTCAAGCCTTTCTTAAAGAATATCAATGATGGAAAAGGTTGGAAGCAATGCACATTCTCTCAAATCACGTTTTTAATTATGATTTTGTCACTACAAATAAATGAATAGCTCCTGTGGACTCACCACCTGCAGGAGGATCAGTGAGGGGCTGGTGCTCTGAGTACTGGGTGCAGCTCTGACTGCCACCCCCCCAACCCAGAAATGGATTAAGGGGAAGAAGATGGATGGATGGATGGAAATAAATGAATACATTAAAACAGATTATTATATACAGCTGTCAATGGCAACGCAATTTGTGCTTGTAATTTATGTTTGTAAGATTACTCCACAAGTAGTCCGTCCAGTTTGATATAAATAAGTAGCTAGCCTAGCTGGTACTCGCCTAGCCACGCTAGTGTAGCCACACATAGATCCATGGTGTAGCTCCACTCAATAAACACCAAAAACGATCAATCAACACATTTAATTGTGTTGATAAGTCACAATGGAGGTTTTCAGAATTATCTGTTAACGTTTTCATAACAAAAATACTGTTTTAATGGGACAAAATGCAACAAAAAGCGATCGCAGTAAATCCGGAAGTAACCATTACCATGAATAACATGTTTTAGGACGCATTTGCAGAGGATCTGATCATAGATTCAGGTTGAGTACAGTATGTGGGTCACTCAATGGTGATGTTCAAAAGTCTTTGTTCAGTTTTTATGTCGTTCTTCCTTCAACAGAACGTCCAGTTTTTTAAGTAAAATAAGTATTTTATTTGCAATCATTAAATAAACATTTCGGCTGTCATGTGGACTGAAGTCCGGTTCCCCTGCCGGTGCTCATGAACCGATAATGACCTGCATTCTATACATTATTCCTTATACTACATAGTCTATACAGTTTAATAAGAAAAATATAAAGATAATTGATTGTGTTTGTGTGACATCACAAGATGCCTTTATAGAATTGTGGAGATGGGCAGGTAAAAAAAATCTTTCCTAGCAACTAATTCACCTCGGCAAATACATTTAAAATACTCATTTAAAATGTACATATCTTGTCAATACATAAACTATGATCAAATGATGGTGTTTATAAGTGGTGACAATAAAGTATGCCTGATGTTTGGCAGAAAATCCAATCAAAATCAAATAATAATCTGGGAATACAATTGAACACTTTTTGTTCATAAAATGTTTCTTTCCCATTTGGCTCCTGCCGTCCAACTGAAATAAAATTCTAGAACTTGGACGCAACCACAGTGCATGTAGTCGTTGTATCACCATATGGAGTGAATGAATCTCCGTTCACCACTGTGACATGTGAAGCGTCTTTGATCGTCCAAAATAGAACTTTATAAAACTGATTCATTATTATTATTTTGACTATCCCTGTGGCGACACCTGCATGTGAAAGCCAGATCCTGTCAGACTCCTGCCTTATCACGGGAGTGGAAGAATAATGCGGTGAATACACTGTACACACTGTATAACACTGATGCATTATTATTGTTTCATTTTCATTTAACCGAATATGAATATTTGTGAATATATTAACCACCAGAGATAATGACTTACTACCTCAATATTCTTGCTCTAGAGTGAACTACAGACCTATCTATAGATGTATATGTTTCTTTACAATAGAGTACACAGGTTTATACATTATGTGTATACCTTTTTCTATAGAGTTGTTCAATACATAATATTCCCTTTTGATGTGTTGCTCCGATTCCTACTGTTCTGGAACTAATGTGACACTGCAACCTCAAATTAACAAAAGGATCCTCCTCTTGTTTGCAGACTCCAGTGCCCTATCCAACACCACGTTCCCCCATGTCATCCCAGTGCTGTCTTTGCTGGAGAGGGGCGTGGCTCTGGCGGAGGGTCTGGAGGCCTGGGAGAGTGCGGAGGTCGGGGTGGACGTAGTCATGCATCACCTGGAAGCAGCTCGGACCATCGCTCACCACGGAGGGATCTACACCAGCAACACCCAGACCAAACTGCAAGGTATGAGAGCTTTTTGATTTGAGTGTATTATTACTCAGATCATTTGGTTTGTAAGGTTCACTTAACCTTATAAACCAAAACAGTTTTACAAGATGTGTTTCAAGGATGGGATGGTAAAATATTTCAATTAGAAGATTGTTTTGGAAGTTTGTTTGGGTAGCACAATACATAAACAGAGAAACTCAAAGTGCTTCACAAAAACAAGCTTTACAAACAGACGTCGACGCCCTCGCCCCTTCGCTCAAAGGTGCTCCCATAGCCATAGAACAATGATTGTAAAATTATAATATGATGAGTTGGTTTGTCTCTATAAGAACTACATTTTTGGGCCGCCTTGTAAAACTATGGCTCACTCTGTAGGGGGCACTAATGGGCCAATTTCCCTTTTCTCACTTTCAGGTGACCTAGACCCTGGAGTTGAACAAACGAGTAAAGTTTAGCACAAACCAGACATTGTATGTGTGTCCATATAGAGCCCTGCACGGGCCTATTATCTGGGCCCAAGCCTGGCCCTGGCCCGAGGGGGTGGCGCCCCAGCCCGGCCCGGCCCGATATGGTTTCTGAATTTTCAGGCCCGAAACCCGCATCAAGCCCACCTTTTTTTTTTTTTGTAACCTCCCATAACAATGTTTTAGCGTAGTATATAGTGCTGCGCACTGATATGAACGCAGACTTAGCTAGAGGGCGGAGTTATACATGGTAGTGATGTGTTGCAATGAGTTCTGTGTGTGCGGAGTGAACGGCCGCATCTGTATGATACACAGCTGTATGATACACAGCTGTATGATACACAGCTGTATGATACACAGCTGTATGATGCCCAGATGCTGCAACACACCTGTAAGTAACGCTATGTGCCGTCAATGACAACACTACACAGAACAACAAACACTACAGCGTGATAGAACGCTATATTCAGTGGGTGCGTTCGTAAATGTATTCTGCCGCTCTGAAAATGAAGAGCCCGAGCCCGGCCCGTGTCCGAGGTCATTATGCGGTCATCGGCCCGAAGCCCGGCCCTCGGGCTGTCGGGCCATCGGGGCCCTCAGGCCAAGGGCTCAAGTGCAGGGCTCTAAGTCCATATGCAGTCTTCAAGCATGGGAAGATCACACCTCTCTATGAAAATAACTACAATTTGGGAGTCTGCCGCAGGCGTTTGACTAATTCAAATTCTGTGATCAACTATTGATGGAACATGTGTTGAGATGATGTGGAGCAATTTTCAGCCAAACTAGTGTAACGGCCGAGGCTGGTTTGCCGTTTGTGCGAGGTGTACATTTCAGCGTTTTAACAATTTTCCCATTGACACAGAATGGGGAGTGTTTGTCGTCGCCACGGCAACAGGGTAAAAATAAGTCTTGGGTCTTGTTGACTTTTTGAATCAAAAGGCCAAAACAGAATTATCTACAAAAAATCTAACATTTTGAAAGAACTAAATATGATTATCCCCATGTAAAACTTTGACATAGTCTGTAGGGGGCACTAAAGGGCCAATTTCAATTATTTGCCTAGACCCTGGAGTTGAACAATCAATTAAAATGTGTATGTGCAAACAGGAGCAAATTTGCTATTGTCAAAAACATTTTTTTTTTTTAAAGTCACATTTTGCCGCTCCGCTGCTCAAACAACGTCTAAAAATCTTTTTTATAGGATGTGGAGAGATTGTGAGCCAAATCGGTGAAATGGCCGAGGAGTTGATTTCTAACCGACATATGTGAAAATGATCAGTTTTAATTTTTCCATTTTCCAATGAATTTCAAGTTTGTCAGGGGGCTCTACGACAAATCTGACCTTAGACCCTCTCCCATTGGCGCAATGTAAACTTACTTTTGTAGAGGGCGCTGTTTTGCCATTTTTTTAGTCCCATAAAAATAAACACCAAAAAACTGAATTCGGAATATTCGGCACGGATTTGTTAGTCTTGGGCCGTCGGGCTTGGGGGCCAAATGTCCGGGCGATTCGTCCGTATTACAGTCACCCTCCCATAGGACTCCATTGATTTCACTGGGTACTACAGCAGGAGTAAAGCTAACTCGTTGGGAAAGCAGTAAATACTGTAAGTATTTTTTCCAAAAGTCTTTGAGCAAAAACCTTATTAATATAGGTTTCCATGGGAACGTATAAAACAAATGATACACCGCTTTAAAGCGAATGAGCAGACGAACGCAACTACTGCTTTTTCAGTGATTGACGAGCACGTCAGCAGTCGTCAATCACCTCAACATCATGAGGTCAGCCACCCCTTCATAGGACCCCATCCATTTCACTGGGCACTACAGCAGGAGTAAGGCTATTCAGTGCCTCTGGCACGGATTTATCAGTGTCTGGGCACGCGCCGTCAGGCTTGGGGTCACAATGTCCGGGCTGCGCCTGGAAATTGTGACTTATGACAGCTGCAAAGGGAAAGCAATAGGCCCTTAAGGCCTGTGTACACTCGCACGGCGCTGCTTACGGTTGCGGTTACGTTGGACCTACGTAACCACAGTTGGTGGTACAGTCGCGCGTTCCCCTTGCGGAGTTTTGAAGAGAATGTTGTAATCCCACAACCAACCACGTGATGGCGATCTCACATGAGTTGCCTGGGAAACCCATGGGGAAACCAAAGCGGTCCCACTTACGCTGCTACTTTCTCCTCATCAGAACAAAAACAAAAGAGATACTTGGACTTGACATGGACTGGGCATTTGTGAGTCACTTATGTGCATCTATGACACAGTTTAAGAGCAGTATGAATATAGAAAGCCCTTAAAAACAGACAAACAGCCGTGAAAATGTGTATATATTAAAACTAATCAAATATGCTGATAGATTTATGTGTCGTTTTTTGGACTGGACCGAGAGGTGTCATAATGCTGGATGTGATTAGTGTAAGGATCGTGTTTTCCTCTGGCCACTATTGATCCTTAACCTTCCTTTATCGGCTCAGTTTCAGCTCATTACTGCTTTATTGAATCGACCTGTCAATATTTATCAGCTCACATCTGTCTATTCCAGGGGTGCTCCCACTTTTTCAGCATGCGAGCTACTTATAAAATGATCAAGTCAAAATGATCTACCTACTATAAAAATGCAAAACATATATATATTTCTAAATATATTGAAGATTCTTTATATCTACAATGTATGTTGATGTACATGCAAAACCGCATGATTTATGAAATAATTTGCATTTAAGCACCGCCTCTGGCGGTCATCCAGGATTCATAGAACCATAGTTACATTCGTAACTTTCGTTCTGTAGCGGCACTTACAATCATAGTAGAAACTCAGGGTGAAGACGTGTTATTATAGATCCATGGTGAAGACATATGTTTACAAGCATTGACCCCAGTCCTCAGCCCTGGTTTGATCCTGGTTTAGCTCCTGTTTTGGTTGTTTTCGAGCGTGTGTGATCACTTTGCTGCTCTCTGATGTGGAGCGAGGATCGCTGCTGTGAACCGCTGTTAAGGCAGTATGATCCATGCTTTAGTGATCAGAGGTCGCACGTTTTGTTTGTTGTTGTTGTTGTTTTGGGGGCAAACTGTGCCGTGCAAAAACGCAAAACTCCGGTTATCTCTGTCCACACGCAAATGCATAAACGGATTAAAAAATATATATATATATGTAATGCGATCTTCCAATACTACCTTTGCGATCGACTGGTAGATCGCGATCGACGTATTGAGCACCCCTGGTCTATTCTGTTTGCATTGAACAGGGTGGAGATTTCTCCCTCGTGTACAACCTGCTCAAATGTGTTCATGTTACATTACTGTAATTCAACTTAAAATGTAAATATAATCTATGATATAGACTCACAAGAAGTATATATCGAAACAAATACTGTAAAAGTTTGAGTGTAATGAGTCACAGATTAACGTGTAATTTAGATTTTTATTATTTAGGTGAATTTAGGGTGAAGTATTTTTCACATTCTCATGAATATTTCCTTGTAGTTTTTTGGTAAGGAACAAAAATATTAATGTTAACAGATGAGTAGACATTACCCAGAAGGCATCAATGGACTATTTGACTCACAGTGAATTTCTCTGGCAACTAATCAGAATTCTTCTTCCACAACAATTACAATACAGTAATTGTTTAGAGTTGGTATTTTGACTGTATTAGGTACACAAGTAACACACGTATTACCAATATATACAGAACAAAAAATTGTGCAAAGAAAAAAAAAATATATATATATATTTTTCTTGGCAGATGTGTATATATGTAGAAAATATATGGCAAAAAATAAATTGTTATTCTACTTTCTCATTTTGTTCTGAACAGATTTCCAGGAGCGAGGAGAGATCGGTGAAATCTTTCAGACTGAGTTTCAGATGCGTCTGCTGTGGGGCAGCCGTGGCTCCGAGGGCAGTCAGTCAGAGCGCTATGAAAAGTTTGACAAAGTGCTAACTGCGCTGTCACACAAGCTGGAGCCTCCTGTCCGTCACAGCGAACTATAGCCCCGCCCACCCGAGTCATGTGACTATACAAACACCACAGTGGACTGATGTTACCGCTCGACATTTAAGAGAGCGGACACTTGAAGAGACGTTTAGAGGGAGTACGTTCAGAGGCAGCTAGAGCTTGTGATGTGAGCAATAGAACAAACCCATAATAACGATGCACTCGTTAAGGCACAGATCTGTGACTTCCTCACTTTGTGCATAATAATGAAATGCAGCAGGGATGAGACTGAGTGAGAGGAGGGGACAGAACCCACCACTGTCACACTGTAGCAGATGAGACGATAACGTACATGGCTCATGAGTGTCGTGAGTGTGAATGTGTATGGATGTGTTTTTATGTATGTTTACATTCCTGCTTTTTTATCTCATAAACTCTTTATGAGCTTTTTTTTAAATTATTTATTGTTCTATGAAATTACCAAAACAATTTTGAGGTTCATATGGCAGCCTTATCTGTCAGCGCTCATTCAGAGTGACTTCATAAAACCACATTAGATATGTATGTCAGTCCCACTGAATATCATGAAAATATACTAGGCATGCATTAATAAATGTATCAGAGATGAAGCCTTTTACTAGTGCAGCAACTTGGTTATGAGGGCTTTGCAAGATGCTATAATATAACAGCGAAAACGTTCTTTGTTGTTGTTTTAATGTCTTCTATTCATAGGTAAAGCAATACTTCAGCTTAAGTTTACAACAATCAGTGAATTATTTAATACAATTGAGTGTGAATGTTGCTTTAACTTCTTCTCCATAAGTTATTTTTCGTAAGCGACAGTTTTGTATTTGGTTTACTCATCAGTCACTGTTTTGATTGCGCTGTTTGTTCCAGTATTTGTTTGAAAAAAACATGTACAATCACTTTGACCAAAGGGCTCTGACGCCTGAAGACCACATGCAATCCCCTGAGCTTAGATTATCCTGTTCTTTTAAAAAGTGCTTTGTATACTATTTTATTGCCCTGTTTTATTCATGACAAAAGTCAGTCAATTGTTTCGAAAATGAGACACTGTTTTAAGAGGAAAACAAATAATTAAGATCAATTCATTGAATATAGTTTGCCATCCTCTAAAGATTCCGAAAGAGAATGATAGTGGTGCAGTTCTCGTATGATCCCAGTAGAGGGTGCTCGTCATCAAGAACACGGTGAATCCACAGACGTGACAGCGCGGAGGCTCCGACTGGGGCCCGTTTCTGACTTTGTTATGACAATGGTAATAATGTATTGAATTGTTTTCTCTCTTTTGAATGCTGTGCTAAAAGACAGGACTGAATGATGGAAACCTAATAAGCAAAAAGACGGATGATGAAATATTGTGTCATGTTTTTTATGTATTGTAAATACTGATCCACTTTTGTAATAAAAATGAATGCCCCCAATGAGTGTGTTATGTTTTTAGTTTATACAGGGGAAAAATATATGACATGTTTGATACTTTGACTGATAATTTTAGAAAGTGTCTTAAACTTTACCTAATCAGTAACATGCACATATACTCATAATGAAATGGCAGACACAACCCTAACCCATATGAGATCAAACTTTAGAGGGTTGATTTAGTCACTTTCATCATTGCATAATTCCTGAGATTAAGAATCTTTTATGAGATACAGTTAAACACAATGTTCATAGGAATTATCCTGCTGTATTGTGACATGACGGCCCTGCTTGCTCCTATAGCATTATGCACATATCTTTGATCTCAAACAATATATTAAACTCTGAAAAGGCCTCAGTTCGTTCTACATGATTAATCACAATTTGTAAATCACAAAGACTGCAGTTATTACTACATTTTAATGCAAACTTAAAATGGACATAACTTGGTTGATTAGAGCATATTTTGAGTCTTCTTATTTGGCAGAACTATTTTTTTATTGAGGCACAAGTACGAATTTTGTGAGAAAAAATTAAAACTCCTTCATTCAAAGGTGAATGTATAAATATAAATATTATATATTTACATTTAGTGTATTCATTTATGTTTGCTGTTATTTCTTCTTGAAAAAAAGGTTGTACTGTGTCTGTTATAACTGAGCATTTTCTGAAACATGTAGAAAGTAGTATTCTTTTTTAATTAAACTCTTGAAATTCTTATTTTAACTGAAAACAAAATTAGACTCTCTAAACATTATCACAAAAATCACAATATTTGTCAGAAATATCTCACTATAGTGTGTGTGTGTGTGTGTGTGTGTGTGTGTGTGTGTGTGTGTGTGTGTGTGTGTGTGTGTGTGTGTGTGTGTATAGTCCTCCTGGCTCCTATTTCACTGTTCCACAACCCTTTGTTCCTTTTTTATCGTCCTCCCCAGCACTCTCTCCTGACAGTGTTTTATTCCACCAATAGGTGACAGTTTACGAGTGCTACCTTGTGAAGAAGTGCCCGGCGTGAGGTGCACTGAGCATGCGTGCTGCTGCAAAGAGCTTCTGACATTGTTGTGCAGACAGGTCTATGGTGACGGCCGCGGGAGACAGAGACAGATGGAGTGTGTTCCAGAGCTTTTGTCACTGTGTGTGTGTGTGTGTGTGTGTGTGTGTGTGTGTGTATGAGAGCCACTACACAGATGTTGGAATACTGCTGTTGTTTAGACCCTCTTCATGCAGCTGGCAGCTGTTACACTGTATTTTCCAGGTGATACCTAAAATAGAAAGTAAGAGAACATGAATGGGCTTTGATTGTGAACAGAGAGGGACCAAAGCGCATCAGCAGACAATGGACAAAGCATAAAGAATAGGACGGTGCTACAATGGGAAATTATCATTCCCTTTGCTCTTTGTCTCCTTTCTCCATACAGTTCCATAGGCGTAACATGTTATGCATGTAATCTCTAAGAGGATTCTCCCTGCTTGGTATCATGGCACAAGTTAATTTCAGAGCATCTATTAGCCTTTATTAAACAGAGTCTCTTGTATGTCAGCCTTATGTTAGCCATCCAAGCATCATCATCCAGTCCCAATACATCTGATCTTATCTGATCAGCACTCACTGGTCATGGTCACCAGCCATGTGTGACCCTGAGCTGGGGGTCTATGCTAAGATTAAAAAACAAGCAGTATTTCATACAAAACCAGGCAAAAAAGAGTCAGTTTTATGGACTATTATCAACATTACCACCACAAATCTATTCCTAAATTTCCCTCATCAAAATGGTTGTGTGTTCTTCATTCGGTGCGTAACACACTTACCCAATTCTGTTATGGATATTTTATAAGATTTTCTGTGCAATTGTGTTAAGCCTGAGCAGGTCATTGCAACAGTGTGCAGAGGTCACTGTGTTGTATGAGCACTTTAGACATATTCATATTCAAGATTTCTGGGATTGTGTCTCTGGGAATGAGACACAATCCCAGAAATCTTTTCATCATTTTCATCAGTGTCACTTGTCCTTGAAACCTATGGCTTCTCACGTTCATCCTTTTGCACCTGTCAGTTGTCATATTATGTCTATTTTTCTGCGACGCTCCAAACGAACATGTCAGATCTTTATTATGGTTCAAACTTTCCTTTGCACCGTTGAGATTTTCCCGCCTGTCTCTCACCCTGTCTCTCACCCTGTCTCTCACCCTGCCAGGCCCCTGGTCGATCTGTCTGTGTGCCCCGGCTCTGACTCCTCATTACCACATGAATACAGACAGGCAAAGGCCTGCTATGGCTTGGACGCCAACAGAAGGCAGGGGATTTGCAATTCAAACCTCTGACCGACCCCCTTTTTACCCCCACCTCCTCTGAGCCATGTATACAGAGACCAGCGCTGTCACTGCTATGATTGAGGATCTATACATATGGAGAAAAAGAAACAGACAGATGTGCATTCACACACTTCATGACATTTCGGCACGGGCACGGTGGCTGAGTGGATAGCACTCTCGCCTCTCAGCAAGAAGGTCCTGGGTTCGAATCCCGGTCGGACCAGGGCCTTTCTGAGTGGAGTTTGCATGTTCTCCCCGTGTCTGCGTAGGTTTCCTCCGGGTACTCCGGTTTTCCCTACCACTAAAAATATGTCCAATAGTTCTGGCATGCGCCTCCTGTACTGGCCCCGCTCCCATCTCTGTGTGGAGTGAGAGACAAATGCCCATAATTAACAATTGTAAACCGCTTTGAGACTCAATTCTGCAGTGAAAAGGCGGTATATAAATAAAAACTTACTTACATTTCCTTTGCATTTCCAACCAACCCACTGTCATAGTGTCATTAGTTTACAAAAGTAAAACCAAAAAGTGATCGATACCAACAGACCTAACATGTAATTGGCCATGTAAATTAATAATTCAGTATTAACCTAATAATAATAAGTACCCAAAGGTTTATGTTATTGCTGTTTGTATTCCACTCACATAACATGATAATAACTGTAATGCCTTTTGTAAAAGGAATCCTCTGTATGGTGGTTGTGAATATTAAACATTTTAGATCCTCACCAGCATCTTTACGAGCAGTCGCAACGGCAGCAGCAGCAGCGGCAGCGGCGGCAGCGGCGGCAGCAGCGGCAGCGGCAGCAGCAGCAGCGGCAACAGCAGCGGCAGCGGCGGCAGCAGCGGCGGCAGCAGCGGCGGCAGCAGCGGCAGCGGCAACAGCAGCGGCAGCGGCAGCAGCAGCGGCAGCAGCAGCGGCAGCAGCGGCAGCAGCAGCAGCGGCAGCAGCGGCAGCAGCAGTGGTACTGTGAAAGTCTCTCCTGACGTCATATCCTGTTGTGAAACAACATGGCGGCGCCCTTGTCCATACAGCTGGAGTTTGGGTACGACTCTCATCATTTAGATTTTAGGCGTTTTAGTGCCTTTGTATCATTATAAACTACTTTATGTTTTTAGTCGATAATGTTACCGAATAATATCCACGTGTTGAATATATGTGAGGTTCATCTGCATTGATCTCCATTGTAAGATTGTCTTAAGTTTGCCAAATGTATTAGTTGTTTGACTTATGTTCCATACATGTGAAGGGTAACAATATACATTAAAGCTGGAGTACCTACATCTGAAAGCACACACGATAAAGCGGAATCCATGAAACTAGTTCCTTGCGCTCTTAGTTTGGTTCCTTCAAAGTCTGTGGTTCGTATCAATGATATGAATATAATGTGTCTTTAGATCAGCTTTTTCACTCACCTCAGCATGTAAATGATAAATGTTTGTTATGATAAAGACCACATGTTCCTCAAATGTTACTAAACAAGACTTTTTCTATATTCCTGGTTGATCTCTTCAGGGGCGGTGCAGAGCTGCTGTTTGATGGAGTAAAGAGACACCACGTGACTCTTCCAGTACGACCTAAACCTTGTGAGTACTTCCTGCTGTCTCACAAAAGGAGCAGTTTAATGATTTGGGCTAAACCGGCGGCTGAGTGGATAGCACTCTCGCCTCTCAGCAAGAAGGTCCTGGGTTCAAATCCCAGTCGGACCAGGGCCTTTCTGAGTGGAGTTTGCATGTTCTCCCCGTGTCTACGTAGGTTTCCTCCGGGTACTCCGGTTTCCCCTACCACTAAAAATATGTCCAATAGTTCTGGCATGTGCCTCCTGTACTGGCCCCGCTCCTATCTCTGTGTGGAGTGAGAGACAAATGCCCAAAAATAACAATTGTAAACCGCTTTGAGACTCAGATCTGCAGTGAAAAGGCGGTATATAAGTAATAACTTACTAACTTACTACTTAACCATTGATTTCTCTAGTCTTTTCTGTAAATAGAATATGATTGAATTAATTTTCAGACCAACAACATAATTAGCAGTTTAGCTATTATCACAACACATCTATTGGCCAGGCACGCTATAATGTATTAATTTAAGAAGACACTATGTGCAGAATCTACTGTTTCAGGCGTCAGGAATCACAATGTCCATGTTGAATGTGTTCATGTTGACCAAATGAAAATATTACCGGTTACTGTTATCTGCCATAAATACATCTTAAACTATAAATACTGTATACATCTGTAGTACACTCTAGTGCGATCATTTATATTTGGTAAGTCATTAGCTCGCACACAGCTCCTTCACAGCGATGATGAGACAGCTGCACATGTTGGCAGCACTGTGGTCCCATATTCCTGATTCCGACATTTTTGCTCAGATGCATGACGTTATTGTTCATTGTATAGTTGTTGATGTAAATGTTAACCTGGTGAACACTCAAAATGATGAATGTGAGAATGCAGTTTCTTCTTGTACTAAAGATAATTGCTACAGACAAAGTCCATTTGAGTAATACATATATTTCTCGTTGTATATAATACATAATGTCCACTTCTGTGTGACCTCTGCTTGTCGATATATAAAACTTCTTCACGCCTGGATCCATATTGATTATATTTTATGTGTCTGTGAGGCCCCGGGTCACTAACACGTCACAGGGGCCTCCAGCTGCAGCTCTTTTCATTTTCTAAACTCAGCGCAGAACAGGGTCGAAAACTGGTAGTTTGATATTTGTTTGTCAATATTTGAATGCTATACATCTGGAAAGTTAGAACTGCCTCAAGCAAAGGTGTTTAGCAGCAGTATTACTCTGCAGTGCCAAAAAGTATCTATTGTTTTTATAACTTTGGTGGCCTATTTTACAAAAGGGTTTTCATCCATGAAGCTATATTTTTGTTGCCAAGACAACAAATGTACAAAGCTGACCGGAACAAGGAATGTAAGGCACTGATGACTTCTTTTTCAGTTAATTCATCCTGTTCCATTGTAATTGTTCATCAATATCATATTTTAATACAAGTGGCCTATTTGATCAATTCTAATTTGTATGTAAAATGTTCTTAAACTGTATATCTTTAAAATATTACATTTAATACATTAATGTTGCTGAGCGTGAAACATCCGTTCATGGTGTTCTGCGGTTTCTGTGCCGTCAAATATAATTGGTTTTCAAACCTTCGCATTTCACTTTGACCCCAGCCCAGTGATTGATGACCCTGGACTGAGAGGCCCCGCCCCCACACACGGTCATATCCACAACAAAACCCCGGGTCTGAAGCAAGTGCACTTTTCACCTCAGATATCTCCCGCAAGATGTGTCCTTTTAGCGACACCTTTTTCTTCTCATACGAATTTCATAATTACATAAAGAATCCAAAATGGTGTTTTTGAATTTTGCTTACCATAATGCAAAGCGTGGGGTTTTAAATTGCATCAAAATGGCGCCTTTTCCCTCCCCTCAACGGTTTCTCTTGTCCCACCCACGCAACGCAGACTTTCCCAGAATGCATTTGGTGGAGACTGTGACGCATTTTCATTCTTTTTTTCTATACATCCCTTTGCCCCATCGTCTGCGGCATTCATCTGAGGTGACTCCCCAAGAGAAACACACTATTTAATCAGTCATACACATCACACACACATCACACACACATTACACACACATCACACACACATTACACACACATTACACAGGAAGTGCCCACAGTGGTTTTTTGGTGTGTTTGTCCGACTTTAATTTACTCATCAAGTGTAGGCAACCAGTTTATATCTCCTTGCAACTTTTAACATGCTTGATGTCCAAGGCTTTGGAGGTATAACATAAGGTGTGTGTGTGTGTGTGTGTGTGTGTGTGTGTGTGTGTGTGTGTGTGTGTGTGTGTGTGTGTGTGTGTGTGTGTGTGTGGTGTGTGTGTGTGTGTGTGTGTGTGTGTGTGTGTGTGTGTGTGTGTGTGTGTGTGTGTGTGTGTGTGTGTGTGTGTGTGTGTGTGTGTGTGTGTGTGTGTGTGTGTGTGTGTGTGTGTGTGTGTGTGTGTGTGTGTGTGTGTGTGTGTGTGTGTGTGTGTGTGTGTGTGTGTGTGTGTGTGTGTGTGTGTGTGTGTGTGTGTGTGTGTGTGTGTGTGTGTGTGTGTGTGTGGGTGTGTTTGTGTGTGTGTATGTTTGTGTGTGTGTGAGTGGGTGTTTGTGTGTGTGTGTGTATGTTTGTGTGTGTGTGTGTGTGTGTATGTGCGTGTTTGTGTGTGTGTGTGTGTATGTTTGTGTGTGTGTATGTTTATGTGTGTGCGTGTGTGTATGTTTGTGTGTGTATGTTTGTGTGTGTGTGTGCGTGGGTGTTTGTGTGTATGTTTGTGTGTGTGTGTGCGCACCCACACACCTGAAAGCAAGAGAGGCTGAACAAATGGAGAAAGTAAATGGCAGCAGGATGAAATAGATGAAATAGCGAATAAGGGTTAATGGTGGAGAAAAATAGCAATAGTCCAAGGCAGAAAGCCGTCTGCGCAAAGAAGGAGTTATGACTACACTAGAGATTAGTTCTTTTTTTAGCCCTGCAGAGGAACAGCGAACAATATTCACAGCTATTGTCATTTTTTTCTCTTTTAAAACTGATTGTTCATCTTCTCTTTCTTTACATATATCCTTTTTTCTCGCACACAAACCCAGGCCCTCGAGACACGTGGCACTTTCATTATACTCGACCGCAGACAGCCGTGCAATTAACCTGGCCCAGGACGCACCGAGGCATGCCCTAGTGTGTTACTCACAAAGTAACACACTAGTAACACACATGTATTACTCACAAAGTCATATATGTTTTATATCTGCACCATATGATCTGATGGAGCGTTCCCCACAGGCCTGGTGCATCCACATATTTGCCAGGGAAGTGTGGGAACCTTAATCACGATTTGAAACTTCTCTATAATTCTTCAAGTCAATTCTTTTTATTTTCCCTTTTATTAGAAAAACTGCATTTTGTGTTGGGGTGTACTGCTGATTTGAGTAAGACAAACATCTCACCTATATTTCAGAAATGCATACTTGTGACTTTGTTAAATAATCATCTGAAGCAGCTGATTGCTAATTTGTTCCGTCGAGATTTCGATATATACTTTTATTTCTATGATTGGCTGAATAATGGTGACAAATTGAAACTACAAACTTTTCCCTTTGTACTTATTACTGCTTTATATTGATATTTTCATACTTTTATCAACCAAATATCCTAAACCCTCACCCTGTTTTATTACTACTATTACTCAACAATTTTGGTTCTGTGTCTATTCTTCAACGCCACCTGATGACCTAAAAATAATTTCTGTATAACTTCTAATCAAGTGCATATTCACTCAGGTGTAATTAATAAGCAGAATATGTCAGAGGCTAATGTGATATTATCTTTCAGTTTGATACAGCTGAACTCTGGTGTAGTGCGTCCACAACACCAGGCTCAGAAGGCTTCACTCTTCATTTTAGTTTGTAGTTGTTAATGTCAGAGCTATGTCGCGCGAGAATTTCAACTCATCCTCCGTCCATTTCACACCTGTGTTAGCGCACATGCACCGTGCACGTGAACGCAGAAAGCAGTGACGGAGCCAAATGTTCCACCTATATCTAGCTCACAGTCTATACATAGCTTTTTGCTCTGTGCGAGAACAAAATGCCATAAGGCCACACACACACACACACGCACGCACACACACACGCTCGCACACACACACACACACACACACACGCTCACACACCAATACAAATCTTTATCCTTAATGTGCAGAATAACTTTAATATATTCATTGTTGGATGTTTAGTGGGGATTTATCCTTAAACCTCTCATTGTCATTGCCTTTGTGGCTGTCAGTCTGATGTGGCCTTTGTGGAGACGAGGTCGACCTTTTTGTTCACGGGGGTCAGACTCATAGAAGATTCAAGCATCAATGATATCAAGAAGCAGGCTGGACACATAGGGGTTCCGCGTGGAAATGGAATGGATATTTTTCTTGGACTTTAATTGAGAGTTTTGTAATTTTACCCTTTGGACTAATGTGTGTTTCAAAACTGCATGTCTTTCTTTCCCCCTTTTTAACATTAAACTGACTGCTCGATTGAGGCAAAGATCAAATAATGCAACTCTGGTTATAATTTAAGTAATTATTATGTTTGAATGATCACTAATAATTGTAATCAGGATTATAAATTTGATTCATTGGGCAGCCTTAAATGAAAATTCACGGCCTTGGCTGTGATATCGGTCGACCCTCCCCCCCCTTCTCATCAGTGTCCCCCAAACGTACACTCATCCATATACATGCGCCGCCACACACACGGTGTAGAGGCGCGTGTATCAGCCTCAGCCACGTCTGCTGCGTCTGTCGCGTCACATCGACCAGCACCTTGACCTCCACCTCTGACCTGACCCTCTGTGTGTGTGTGTGTGTGTGTGTGTCTGTGTGTGTGTGTGTGCAGGGGATGTGCAGCAGCTGCTCCTCTGGATCCAGATGAACCTTCTGAAGGAGCGACCCGAGCTCTTTGTCCAGGGAGACTCTGTGTAAGTGACAACATTGCACTTGACTCACTCTTTGAACTGCTCTGATATCCTACATGCACATTGTCCCGGAAGAAAACACATTTGAGTTGAACATTTTAATTGGTCCATGATTTAAAAATGCTATTATATGCAAACACTTTCACTGAGTAAGTATCTAACTGTATCTAAATAATACATAGTGTTCTCTACACAGTTGCTCAAATTCCTCAACCTCAGTCAAAAGAAATGTCTTAACATTGTTGGATAAACTAAAACAATAGAGCAGAGACACTTTCTTTTCACACACTTTCTATAGACCTTTTTATGGTTAATAAATCTTCCTTACACCAACAAAAGTTATGTTAAGATTATTCTTAGACTATAGGCTAAAAATTCATTTGCAATTCTCCTTGCTTTGCTGAAAAATGTTAACCTTCAGCTGATGGGTTTTGGTGTGATGATTACCCCTGTGCTGCGGTCCTTCATCCTTGTGTGTGTGTGTGTGTGTGTGTGTGTGTGTGTGTGTGTGTCTGTGTGTGTGTGTGTGTGTGTGCATCCAGGGCATAGCAGCCTTATAGGACTGGCTGACGTTTACAGCTGCCTTTGTGCACCAGTATTTATAGCTCCACCCATGAACGGGGAAAATGCAGGCTACCTTTAAAGCCTATAGATTAGATGTGTTCTGCCGAGAGCCAGCAATGTCTTTAAAACACAATAGAATCACACTTTCACCTACAGTTGTTTATTTATCATTTAGTATCCCTTCCTCTTTTGTCATGTTTGGATGATTGAATATGTCTCTTGGTGTTTGCAAAATCAAACACTTTTTAAAACAGACAAATGTCTTTATATATTCGTTTCCTTTTATGTAAGAACCGTTGAAAAGTGTGCATTAGAGGCTCTGTCTTCACTCCACCATTAGCTTTAGAATGTGTTTGTTTTGGAATCTGTATCACATGATGTTAAATAAGAAAATAAAATAAAAAAAACATGTTTAAAGGTTTTTTTAAATACTTCACAAGAAACAAAATACGAGAAGTATTTATATTGTTTTGTTTGTATTAAATAATATTGAATTAGTGTTTTAATTACTGTGTGTTATTGAAAAACATTTCTTTCAATCTCTGCAGTGGGAATACAAATGTCTTTACTTTTATTTAAATAGCAGACGGTGATAAACAGTGATATTATAAAGGTTAGCAATAGAAAAGTATAACATTTAACTGATCACAGCCCTAAAACAAACTATACACATACATTTGGGTACATGGACCTATTTATGGTCTATTTTTTTGACCTATTTATATTTTAGAATGATATTGTAGCACAATGTTAATGGAGTTACCATTTTTGGTTAAATAAGTTGTACTAAATGAATTGCCTGAATATTGTTATCTCATTATTTGATTCTTTTCAGCAATGCTTTCTCCTAATTTAACTTTCATAACCTCTTTTTGTCTTAAATACTGTTTCTTTTCCGCTCAGGAGACCAGGCATTCTGGTGCTCATCAATGATGCAGACTGGGAGCTAATGGTGAGCTCCATGTCACCGTGTTTGTGACCTGCATGTGTCTAGATCAAGTCCCCTTAAGCTCCAAGCTCCACACTCTCTGATCTTTACCATGTATTTAGAAGCATTGTTGTTATTGTGGTCATTGTTTATTCATTATGTATGTTTTTTTCCTCTAAATAACATGTTAGTTCTGATAACATTGAAAACATTGGCCCAGTCAATTACTGGATTATTTCAAATGAAATAGTCCCTTGAGTTTCCACTGTTGAGATAATACACATGTTTAAATGTAATACTTTGTTTTCAGGGGGAGCTAAAGTATGAGCTGCAAGACCAGGACAATGTGGTGTTCATTTCCACTCTTCATGGAGGATAAATGTGGAGCTCTGTGCTTCACTTCCTCTTTGTGACGTCCTAACAACATTGAACCTGATTGGACACTGCACCATGTTCCCAGTTGTGTTACAGATGTTTGCTTCTGCTATATATGAAAGACATGAATGTTCACATTTTGTTGAACTAAAGACAATTTTCTAAAGAGTGGCAGCGGCTGCATGGCTTTGTTTTTTTTTTTTTTTTATGAAATATTTTTTAAATCGTAAAACGTTGAACTAACTTGGTTATTGGGTAGATTATTAAACTGTACTCTAGTGTAATATTAGATTATTAGTGAATATTAGCCAGTACATTGTGATGTGTTGCCCCCCCCCCCCCCCCCCCCCCCCCCATGATAAAATAAAGTAATTATTTTAAGTGTCTTAAAAATATTAATTATTTACGTATTCTTTACACACTCATTTATTTATATATATGTTAGTATAATATATATATATTTTATATGTATAATATAATAAATATATATATATATATTATATATATATATATATATATATATAATATAGCGCGTTTAATTTGCAATATGTATCCAGGTGAAGGGCGCGACCCGCAAAGGGGGATGTGTCTTACAGAACAGCTGTAGCTCAGTTTGGGATGCCACTTCCAGGGCCACAGCCAGGCGTTTGACTCAATTAGGATTTGACGTGACGTCTGGATAATTCACGGTGATGGCCGAGGTTCTATCTGATCGATGTGCGCTGTGTCTGTGATCACATTGCAGTTTTAGGCTGATTAGAGCGGACTAAAAGGAGAGCTCGAATATTCATAAGAGGGGGATGGACACGAGCACGGTGCTGCTGGAGTGTGTTACTGCACCGCTGCGGGAGGTCGAGGTCTTGCCTCCAGGCTGCGCTCCCCTGAACGCCCGCGGCGACCTAAAACCTTTTTTTGGTTGTGAAGTCCGATTTGCAACGGGAAACCGGACCATAATGGTGCTTGAAAAGAAATGCTAATGAGCGTGTGAGGGAGAGGTGAATACACAGTCAGCTGGAGCAGACCAAGCACATGCAGGCCTCTATCTCAGGCTCCGTTTTAATGTTCTGTGGAATCACGTTGATGTTTTTTTTATATACATTCAGTGGTCTCAACTTTATTTAGACCGACATAGCACTGATAGAAACACTTACATGGGGCCTCAACATGACGTGTCCAGGAGGAGCGCACAGGCGCTGCTGAGACTGAAGTGATTAAAGGAGCGTCTCATAATGAGCTGCTACATTAGAGTGACTGCTGGGGATGCGCAGAAGTTACTGAATAAGAATGATGTCCTTTGACCTGGCTTTGGTAGAACGGAATAGACCACAACGAAGCTTTTGGTCATTGGGGTTGTTTTACAAATACAGCTTTAAATCCACGCTATAAATATGAGTATTAGTTAATAATAATAGTTTTGTTTAGTCATGATAATAATTAATATAATTAAACAAAAATGCTTCGTTTAATGAATGTTGCCACTGACCTTGACAGCCACCTGCTGCTTTCTGCTGCAGACTTTATTTACAATAATGCAATGGTTAAGGCAAGACATTTCTCTTTTTATAATTTGAAATAATGAATGATTATGAAAATTGTACCTAAATAATCACACTATGTGTAATTTCTAAAAAAAATCGTATCGTTTTAGGAATAAGTAATAATAATTTGTGTTTTTATTGGATTTGCCTGTGCGCCATGCTTTTTAACAGGCCCTAGATTTATGTTGTCTAAACAGGTCTGGCTCGTGGAGGCTGTGTCCAAGCTCATATTTAGAATAAAAACACAACAATGATTGTATCACTGCAGAGTTTGTAGTAATACAACACAAAATGAGTAAAGCATTTCTGCACGTATCTTAGATTTTAATCAAATGTTATGTGTTTAGTAAATTATTATTATACTATACCTTTTTTAGACTACATTATGTATATATATATATATGTGTGTGTGTGTGTATGTATGTGTGTATACATATATATATATATATACATTTACATATGATTAAATGATATACATTTACAAAAATCAGGTTAAATAGCCCATATATTGGGTTTATTAAATAGACCTATGTACCATGTTTTGTAGATACATTTTTCTTGCATCTTTTGTATTTGACTTATGTAACTTCTGCTCTCCACATGCCTCAGCATGAGCTTCTGTAGGCTATGCACATATAGTCACTCATATTTGATCTTTAAAGTAAATGCAACTGGGCCTAGCAGTCTTTGTTTAACTTACTTTTAAAAAGATAATGTTTTGTCTTGTAAATGTATTTAAGAAATATGTGTCCAATATATTCCTAATTGTTTAAGAGCCGTTTTGTTCACAGGCTTGCTTTGTGAGTGGATGGAGCGCTTTGCAGGCCTCGCTCAGGGACCACTCAACTTGCTGCTGCTTCTACTATTTGCCAAAGACAGTCGATTCATCGATGCTTTGAGTCGATATTTGCCATTTAGAACAAACAGACTTGATTAGATCTTCGACAACGTGTAAATACCAATCGGGCCAACCATAAGGCACGTTTGAAAAACACATGAAGCAGAATCAGCTTGACGTGACTTTATTGGCCCTTGGCTCCGGGATGCAACAACATGCAAACATGACTTATGCTGCTCTTACCTGAGTGCAACAGTGACACACGCACACGTTCTTTGTGCAGCGGGGAGGCCTTCTGCTGCGGCGCTGGCCAGAGCCACACTGCTGAATAGGAGCCTGCAGCAACAGATGTCCATACACAATTCTTGGGGATTACTTCGAGTTTACACAAGAATTGCGTTTGGACAATCAGTAGCTAAAGACTCGTGTATGGGGCGCGTTGGTTAAAGAGAAAATCAAGTGCTTGAAGACAGCACAGTATACAGGCCTGCTATGCACTTGCTCAGACTGTTAATGCCCTTTGACAGCGTGCACCTGACGTCTTCTTGCATCCTAGATAGTTCAGAAACATGAATTCATTTGCATGTCTGTCTCAGTATTTGCTTGTTTTTTCCCTCACAAAAAAACCCCATATTAACTAGCGTAAACTACAACCAAGTAAAAAAAAAAAAGCCAGATCGAAAAGCTTAATCCCTATAATTTCTATACATTATACATTATCCATGCACATAAACATCTAAGTTTCCCGATAACGGCCACTAATATGAACAGGCTCTGGTGTCCCCTGCGGCCTTTGTTGTCCCAGTTTCTGTAGTTGCAAAGTTAAAGCCTTTCAAGTGAGAGTCTCTTAACTCATGAGCCCTAAAATGGCCACTGCATTTTCAAGTCAAATGTCATCTCCTCGATCGCTCAAGAATCTTGGGTCTACTTTTCCAGTGTCTCAAAAGAAGTGAACGCCGAGGTACCACGCAGCGTAACTACTTTGATGTATTTCAAAGTCTTCGATGCAAGGGAAGCCATTTCTGCACCTGCGTATAGTGACATCGATCTTGAAAGCAGTGTTCATTTGTGACGCCTCCGGATTCACACAATGGTTTTCCACGCGCGTAAACACAAGAGCTGGGAATACGAGAAAAAATAGTGGGAAAAGATATTCTTATACGCAGTGATAAAAATGGAGGAAATACATTAGTTCCATAAGCGTCCTTGATGCGATCCGTCTCTTGTACCGCCTCTGTTCTTGTGAGAGCCCAGTGCAGAGAGCAGTGGAGCTGAAAGAGGCTGAGGACAGAAAGCAGCGGGCTGTAGCCTCCGGACCGATGCTCCGTCCATCCATGTCGGTGTTCCCATCCTCTCTCCGTGGAGCTCTGGGACACACTGCTGCTACTGGACGCACATCTCTCTGTGCTCTGCTTTTCTTGCGTCGCTCCACAAAAAGGCGAGAGAGGAGTGGAGCCGCTCCTCGCTTGGTACTGAATTTGAATAACACCACGGGGTGATAAATGTCCATTGTACTGCTTAAGTAATGAATCTGCGCTGTCCTCTGTGTCACACAGCCTCGTGCGCGCGCACATACACACGCGCCAGCAGCTGCGATTGGGGACCAGCAGCGCCTCTTAAAGATACAACAGCCCCATTTTCTCCCCAAAAAGAGATTACAATCCCCACACTGTTTACTCTGTGTGCGCGCTGCATGACGCGCAGTGTTGCTCTGTGGCGTGAGCAAACTCCGGTGCAACGCAGTGACAGCGCGCGGGAGAAAGAGCCGTGTGCCTGCAGAAGGCTACTGTAGGCCTCTGACTGTGGCTCCAATGTAACATTATGACACGAGTCAGTGCTGTGGGGCCCGGGGACCTTTGACAAGCGCACAGTGCCTAGCTGTGTGCCCTATTCAGTCATACACTGTTATAACACCTGTTAACCTCAGACCATTTACAGAAAGAAAACATCCCATTATCTTTTCAATCAGGTGCAACTTTAGCAACAACAACAAAAAGTTTGGTGTAAAACGGATTAAATTGTTTTGATACATTAAAATAATTTCAACACACTGATCATCCTTCAAATTCAAATGAGCGCAAAGTTGTTTCTGAAGTGGACTTCATCTGCATTATTCTCCAGAAAAAGCCAAAACGACAGGTTGATATTGTATGCTAAAGGCATGCAGTGACAAACTAGTGCTCCAGTTTCCCCTTTTCCCCTACCACAAAAAGTTTACACAACCAATGGTTGGTGATGGTTGGTGATGGCTGGTGATGGCTGGTGATGGTTGGTGATGGTTGGTGATGGTTGGTGATGGTGTCGGCCATCACTGTGTGGAGTGAATGGAATATACCAAAGACGATGCTGTGACCTTAATCCATGAAATGAGCAATATTATAAGTGATGCTGTAATTATATAGCCCTAAATCACAACAGCAGTAATCTGAGAGGACTCAACAAAACCACTGAAATCACCAACACAGATCAACACAATCAACAATCAAGACACAAAAAAGAATATTGAACACATGTTGATAAATGTCATGTTGTAGAATGTTAAAGTGTCCTGATCATCACCACATCCTTTCTGTTGGACACTAACTGTCCAACAGACCCTCCTGCATCGGCAAGGAACAACTCACAAAAAACCAGTGGGAACACTGTAAACCCTAACTTCAATCCTACTTCAGATATCAAAGTTATTTTAAATAGATTTTTCCCAGTAAGTATATATTACTCATTTATTGTTAGTTTATTTAAAGCTTGCCTATGTCACTCAGGGTTTTCTTTGAATTGAACTGTTTCCGTTGAAGTAAGCCTCACTTTTGACATTTTGATGTGTAGAGTCTTTAATGAGGCAGGTGTGACAATGGCAGGGTGGCCTGGTGGCTGAGTGGGTAGCACCATTACCTCTCAACCAAAAGGTTCTGAGTACGATTCCCAGTCGGAGCATAAGTAGAATTTTAAACTTTATTGCAATCACCTGAGTTTACTTGGTAATATCAAGTAAACAATGTACTCGAGGAATTCAAGTGAAGTTAATACGCAATTTATTTCCATGGTTTTTTCAAGTAAACTTTACTTGTCAGGGTTTACAGTGAAAAAGTAAGAAACCTCAGGGAGACCCACATTGAGAGAGGGCCCCCCTCCACACGGACGGACGAGCTATAGATCCAGAACCTAAGCTACAGAACGTGGACCAGGGCCACGCAGCGGCCCCAGAACGTGGACCAGGGCCACGCAGCGGCCCCAGAACGTGGACCAGGGCCACGCAGCGGCCCCAGAACGTGGACCAGGGCCACGCAGCGGCCCCAGAACGTGGACCAGGGCCACGCAGCGGCCCCAGAACGTGGACCAGGGCCATGCAGCGGCCCCAGAACGTGGACCAGGGCCACGCAGCGGCCCCAGAACGTGGACCAGGGCCATGCAGCGGCCCCAGAACGTGGACCAGGGCCACGCAGCGGCCCCAGAACGTGGACCAGGGCCATGCAGCGGCCCCAGAACGTGGACCAGGGCCATGCAGCGGCCCCAGAACGTGGACCAGGGCCACGCAGCGGCCCCAGAACGTGGACCAGGGCCACGCAGCGGCCCCAGAATGTGGACCAGGGCCACGCAGCGGCCCCAGAACGTGGACCAGGGCCACGCAGCGGCCCCAGAACGTGGACCAGGGCCACGCAGCGGCCCCAGAACGTGGACCAGGGCCACGCAGCGGCCCCAGAACGTGGACAGGTCCGGTGCAGGACTGAAGCGCTCCCAAGCGGGTCGGGCAGGGCAGTCCGCAGGTGTAGATGGAGGAGGCCAGGTCCAGAGGTCCCTTCGTCGCACCATGAAACAGACAATGGGACAACGGGTGAATAGCAATGAACAAACTACAGTCAAAATCCTAATAATGCAGACAAATTAGAAAGGAGGAAAGAACACTGCTCAAGTTATAATATTTTTTTTTAAAAGCGTTATAAAAATACTATAGGCTACATTGTGGCTGTAAATGTTTGATTCCCAACACAATATATCTAAAATTGACAAGCCAGCACACATGGCAACTTCTGGAACAAGGTGGATAAATGTACAATTTTAGGTGATAATATACTATGTAATATGTGTTAATTTTAAAACCTTTGATTCTTTGCTTTCTGTTCCTCTCTCAGCCTGATTTTCTTCTTCCATCCTCCAGCTCTCCCCGTGTCTCTGCTTTTCTCTCTGTGGATCTCTGAGTGTTTCTCTAATAAATCATCCTGACTGGTCCCGCCCCAGGCACAGGGGGTCCTCCTCTTTAAAGCTCAATCCGTTTTACCCCCCTTTCATCGACGTGCAGAAGCCGAGTTAACCTCTGCTGAAGCTGGGGCCAGTGCCCTCTCAGCACAGCCCGCCTCTCATTCACTCCACTCTCACTCATTCACTGCTCTTTTTGTGGACGCTCTGAGCTGCTGTGGTGCGACTGAGAAAGTCACACTCACCTGACCATTGTCACTCTTTTACATACAACACAGAGATTGATGTTTGCTTTTTATTTTTTGAGTGGTTCAAGCTCTCAGCTTTCATTTAGGTTTCCTCCAGGTGCTCCAGTTCCCCATCCCACTGGAGCCAGTTCTCCACTGTGTTGAGCATGTAGCCTGCTGTAATACGGATCAATAATGTATTATTTATCAAGTAGTATCTATCTATCACTCTATCTATCTATCTATCTATCACTCTATCTATCTATCTATCACTCTATCTATCTATCTATCTATCACTCTATCTATCTATCTATCTATCACTCTATCTATCTATCTATCACTCTATCTATCTATCTATCTATCTATCTATCTATCTACTCATCTATCTATCTATCTATCTATCTATCTATCTATCTACAGTGCCTTGCGAAAGTATTCGGCCCCCTTGAACCTTTCAACATTTCGCCACATTTCAGGCTTCAAACATAAAGATATAAAAATTTAATTTTTTGTCAAGAATCAACAACAAGTGGGACACAATCGTGAAGTGGAACGAAATTTATTGGATAATTTAAACTTTTTTAACAAATAAAAAACTGAAATGTTGGGCGTGCAATATTATTCGGCCCCCTTGCGCTAATACTTTGTAGCGCCACCTTTTGCTGCAATTACAGCTGCAAGTCGCTTGGGGTATGTCTCTATCAGTTTTGCACATCGAGAGACTGGAATTCTTGCCCCTTCTTCCTTGTAAAACAGCTGGAGCTCAGTGAGGTTGGATGGAGAGCGTTTGTGAACAGCAGTCTTCAGCTCTTTCCACAGATTCTCGATTGGATTCAGGTCTGGACTTTGACTTGGCCATTCTAACACCTGGATACGTCTATTTGTGAACCATTCCACAGTAACATGTTTGCACATTTCCTCCCTTTGCACAATCTGAGTGTCTCTATCCATGCCAAATGTGACATGTAAATTTCTCCTCTGTGAGATAAATAAAGCAATCTTATCTTATCTTCCATTGTAGATTTGGCTTTATGTTTTGGATCATTGTCCTGTTGGAAGATAAATCTCCGTCCCAGTCTCAGGTCTTTTGCAGACTCCAACAGGTTTTCTTCCAGAATGGTCCTGTATTTGGCTCCATCCATCTTCCCATCAATTTTAGCCATATTCCCTGTCCCTGCTGAAGAAAAGCAGGCCCAAAGCATGATGCTGCCACCACCATGTTTGACAGTGGGGATGGTGTGTTCAGGGTGATGAGCTGTGTTGCTTTTACACCAAACATATCGTTTTGCATTGTGGCCAAAAAGTTTGATTTTGGTTTCATCTGACCAGAGCACCTTCTTCCACATGTTTGGTGTGTCTCCCAGGTGGCTTGTGGCAAACTTTAAACGAGACTTTTTATGGATATCTTTGAGAAATGGCTTTCTTCTTGCCACTCTTGCATAAAGGCCAGATTTGTGCAGTGCACGACTGATTGTTGTCCTATGGACAGACTCTCCCACCTCAGCTGTAGTTATCTGCAGTTCATCCAGAGTGATCATGGGCCTCTTGGCTGCATCTCTGATCAGTCTTCTCCTTGTTTGAGATGAAAGTTTGGAGGGACGGCCGGGTCTTGGTAGATTTGCAGTGGTCTGATACTCCTTCCATTTCAATATAATTGCTTGCACAGTGCTCCTTGAGATGTTTAAAGCTTGGGAAATCTTTTTGTATCCAAATCCGGCTTTAAACTTCTCCACAACAGTATCTCGGACCTGCCTGGTGTGTTCCTTTGTCTTCATGGTTCTCTCTGTGCTTTAAACAGAACCCTGAGACTATCAAAGAGCAGGTGCATTTATACGGAGACTCACACACAGGTGCATTCTATTTATCATCATCAGTCATTTAGGACAACATTGGATCATTCAAAGATCCTCACTGAACTTCTGGACTGAGTTTGCTGCACTGAAAGTAAAGGGGCCCAATAATATTGCACGCCCCACTTTTCAGTTTTTTATTTGTTAAAAAAGTTTAAATTATCCAATACATTTCGTTCCGCTTCACGATTGTGTCCCACTTGTCGTTGATTCATGACAAAAAATTTAAATTTTATATCTTCATGCTTGAAGCCTGAAATGTGGCGAAATGTTGAAAGGTTCAAGGGGGCCGAATACACTGTATCTATCTATCTATCTATCTATCTATCTATCTATCTATCTATCTATCTATCTATCTATCTATCTATCTATCTATCTATCTATCTATCTATCTATCTATCTATCTATCTATCTATCTATCTATCTATCTATCTATTTATCTATCTATCTCTATCTTTCATCTCTCTTTCATCTCTCTATGAAGCAATATTTCAAAATACATTATTATTAAATCATGCTCTTTTCAAATACATCTTTAACTGATAGCAGTAGTTCAGAGGTATTTGAACATCAAAATTAGTTTTACGACCTGTAAATGTTGTTATTGTTTTCATTACAGTTTTTCTCGGTCGCTTTGGTGCATTTCTCACATCACTCTTCACATTTGCACAACTGTTGGTGCATTTCTCAAAACAATTAGTGTAAACTGCAGAACCTCGTGGATAACCTGCAAAAGTGCGTCACTTTCTCAAAATGAAAAGTTTTTTCCTCAAAAGCAAGTCCAAACGTTAATGAAACTGTCTATGTCGTCAAAATAATATGTTCTAACAACATTGAGTATGAACATCACAGTCAAATGACTTAGTTATGTTTTCATTGTGAAAGTTTACTCTCTGTGTTTTCAGTGTAAAAAAGTCAGATCTCGGAGACACTTGAGCACGACACACTATACACGACCTGTGCAGCCATTTACAGTAAAAACTACAGTAAAGTTACACAAAGACTGTATTTAGAGACGTAACTGACATATATGTATGTATGTATGTATGTACTGTATGTATGTGTGCGTGTGTGTGTATCTATGTATGTATGTATGTACTGTATATATGTATGTGTGTGTGTATCTATGTATGTATGTATGTACTGTATATATGTATGTGTGTGTGTATCTATGTATGTATGTATGTACTGTATATATGTATGTGTGTGTGTGTATCTATGTATGTATGTATGTACTGTATGTATGTATGTACTGTATGTGTGTGTATATCTATGTATGTATGTACTGTATGTATATGTATGTATGTATGTATGTGTACTGCATATGCTCTTTGTATTTGTGTTGCACAATGCTGTAGAAGTGCAGACACATACATGTATATACATAGAACAAACATACAGAAATATCATTATGGTAGAACTGTGACAAAAATAAACAATAAAGCACACCTCAGAGTGAAGCTGAAATTCACCTGAGATAAATTGTTCAATTTAGGAAATATTTACAGGAAAAAAAAGATAAAGGAATGTATGAAATTAGCTTGACAGTTATGATTTTGAGAACTAGTTCAACAATTTTGTATGTGATGACCAAAGCGATGAAATGAGAACAGTTAGTTTTATAGTGAATGACTATTCAGAAGTCATAAGTATGTTTCATTCTGACTGACAGGACAGAAGCAAATGATAAGATTAAAAAAACGCCGAGAATTGTTTGAAAGTTATTGATACATGAACAAAAGCATTTGAAATGTGTTCAGAGGAATGAAAAACTGCCATGATCATGTGCACCAAGGACCCAATGTTGTGGAGGTTGAACTAATAGTTTTGAGAAGTTTAAGTCTGATGTGAGAAATGCACCAAAGCAACTGAGAAAAACTGTAACAGTGTCCCACCCTCCGCCGTTTCACCAATCAGAAACTCCGAGATCCGGGTTGCCAGAACTCCCCGCGGCTAGCTAATCTCTGTGGTAAAATAACATGTGGCCGCAGAACTAAAAGAGGTCTTGTCCATGGGCTGACACCTCGGTGGCTCAGGTTCAAGTCCAGGCGAGATGTGTTCTGGATTAAACTGTATGATATATTCTATGACATGCTCAAAAACCGTAAAATGTAAAAACAAGCCGTTATTTGCAGATTAAAGTTTAAGTATAATAAGAATCATTTAAGACCACATGTACCCCAATCAAAATAGTGTTAGTCTCTTTTTGATGTGAGAATAAATAAAATCAAAGGGTGATATCCTCTGGAGAAAACCCTGATGTTGATACGCTGAAGAATATGTTCCAACGTCCACTCTTCCCTCTTCTGTTTTGGACATCAATTGCTTATTTAATTTGCATAATCTATAATTAAATTGCTTTTATTTTGTTTTTCTCATCTCAAATGTCCAAATAAAAAAAATAAAAAAACATTAATTCAACATTAGCACGGCTCATGGCAAAGTGAGAGACAGACAAACAACTGATAAAATAATTCCTTGTGTTTGTTGCTGGATTTGGTGAGTATCTGGCAACCTGAGTCAGGGAGAGTGGGAGAGGACTACACAATACTGACTGTGACTGCAGTACCACTTTTGGCCAGATTTTTACATACTGCTCCTTTAAGATAAATGCTCGCACCAATAAGGAGGGAGACTGTGGTTGATTGGGATTAGACGCATTGGAAATACTCTTTTAACTGTTATAGCTTGAAGTGCGGAGGGCGAAGAACACACTTTTGCAGTCATTTGACAATCATCATTACAATCGTACATAAGTGCTTGTTGTAAACAAAGCAGTATTGCACTAAACTAAAGTATTTGTGCGTGTGACAAAAATATGCCTCTTGGAAAGACAAATCTGTACCATGGAGAGAAAGTGAAGAATGAGGGCTGAAAAGTTTTATTACAACTTATTTGTTAAATTAAACTGTAACCTGTCTGACAATTAAGGCAAGGCAAGGAAAGTTTATTTATATAGCACAATTCATACACAAGGCAATTCAAAGTGCTGAACAAAATAAGAAAGCATTAAAATCATAAATAATCACAGAACATTA